AACAATGGACAGCAAAATAATTCTAATGCTTATAAAAAATAGTAATTTGTATGTATGATGCTACAGTAAACTTTATTTTAAAAAGTTTTTCACTTTAGGGTTAGAATAGTTAGAGGCAGTAATCCCAAAAATTTACTAATCATTTATTATTCCAGTGTGAATTTTTACATTGGCTAAAAATTAATTGTCGATGTGCAATTAAAGAATTGAGTCAGTATGGAAGTTGATTCATTGTGGTTTTATTAATAAAATATAAATTATTTAAATTAATTAATGGATTTACAGAAGACTATTAACTATTTGAAATGCATATGTCAGAAATATGAACGTTATGTGACCTATGGGTTATAAAAGTAATTGTTTCAATTTCATACTTAAAAATTAATACTACCACGGCTTTATACTACAAAGTCTGTACCATCGTGTTATAATTGATATTAGTCTTCAATATTATAATTTCATTTTAAAAGATCAGGGATAAGGCCATTTTGAAAGAAAAGAAAAATAGTCAGTGTGTCCTTAGACAAGAGTTCAAGTAATATGTCCACCCTTCCCAACCCTTTTCCCTATTGGTTTTCTGATTTTGCACCACTTGTCTACCTTTTTTTCAACTGGTGTATGGGTGCAGACTTGAGCTAAATAAATTAGATACCAGTATTTATTTTTGTTTTGTTATTACGTTTTAAAATGTATAATGAAGCTTTTTCAGTAAAATTATTTATCGATCAAATAAATCTTCATTTACTTTTGTTTAAAATAAAATATCTGGGGAATATATTCTCAAATTGTAATGGAATTGGTGCATTATAAAAGGAAAAAATTCGTAGCCGCAGGGAGGAACGTGTTTAGCTTCCAGAAATTAGACTGTAAAAGGCAAAGGTCTGATGCCAAAATTTAATTTAATTAATTTATTTATTTTTTGTTATTACGTTTTAAAATGTATAATGAAGCTTTTTGAGTAAAATTAATTATCAATTAAATAAATCTTCATTTACTTTCGTTTAAAATAAAATATCTGGGGAATATATTGTCAAATAATAATGGAATTGGTGCATCCTAAAAGGAAAAAAAATCGTAGTTGCAGGGAGGAACATGTTTAGCTTCCAGAAATTAGTTCGTAAAAGGCATAGGTCTGCTTCCAAAATTTAATTAATTAATTAATTTTTTTGTTATTACATTTAAAAATGTATAATGAAGCTTTTCGAGTAAAATTAATTACCAATTAAATAAATCTTCATTTACTTTCGTTATCAATATGGGGAATATATTGTCAAATAATAATGGAATTGGTGCATCATAAAAGGGAAAAAATTGTAGCCGCAGGGAGGAAGGAACGTGTTTAGCTTCCAGAAATTAGTCCATAAAAAGCATAGGTTTGCTGCCAAAATTTTATTTATTTTTATTTTTTTGCTATTACTTTTAAAATTCATAATGAATGCTTTTTGAGTAAAATTAATTTTCAATTAAATAAATCTTCATTTACTTTAGTTTAAAATGTAATATCTGAGGAGTGTATTTTCAAATTGTGACAGAATTGAGGGATAATAAAAGGAAAAAATCGTAGCGGCAGGGGGGGGACGTGTTTACCTTCCATAAATTAGCCCGGCAAAGGTCTGCTGCTATATCATTTTGGTGTCAAAACATTTGTTGTGTTCATGTCTTGGGTTGTGTTATTAAAATCAACAAATAAGGTAAATTAATCAGTATTAATAGAAAATTTATTTTTAATTATTAAGTAATCATTATTTATTCTTATCAGTTAAGCGTCTTAATAGCTTCATTTAACAATGAAAAATAAGGTTCAATAAATTTGACATATGCCTCTAACTGTTTTTATCTGTCAATTTCTTGAATTGTTTTCATATAATTTGTTTGTTTTTTTGTGCCTAAAAAAACTTAACAAACAACTATAATTCAATTTAGCATGTTTAGCTAGCACTGTTGATTAGAAATTTTAGGAATGCTTACATGAGTCATAGTGATTTTCAACAACTAAACCAAGTTTTGGAATATGGCTAAAGGTTTATACATCATTTCAAGAAGGATGTCTTGAAGGTATAATTGTTATAAATACATTTTACAGTCAAGTAATATAAAACATGCATGAAACCACTTACTGTTTTGTGTTGTGTATTGGTGATTTGTTGATCAAACTTCAAAACCAAGATTTGTCCTTGTGAACAAAAAAGATTGCATGCATGTCTTTTTTTGCTGAAAATACAATCCTACAAAAACTCAGTAAGAAACATTTTTATTTAGTTGGCATTTTTATTATTATTTTATTCTGTATTATTCCGTAATTTATTGATATTGATTAAATTCCTTTCGGTTAAGAAGATATCTACTGTTAAGTTTTATTGCTTTTATCATGCATTAACACTATCAGTGGAAGATATTTTTCTTTTGTAGCATTTTGAACGGATTAATGAAGTACACATTGAAAGGTTTATGTTTTTATTACAAATATAACAAATTACATTTTTCATAATCTTTTAAATTAGTAATTCTACAAATTAACTCCAACTCATATAGTTTGCAATGGAAGAAAACAACTGTGAAAGATTATTGAATTATTTGATCAGCAGCATTTTTTTCATTTTTAAAAGACATCGATCGTTTTGAACATTTATTGTTTAATTGATGAATTTGGTACCATACTTGGTTTTCATAGAAAAACGACTGCTTACAAGAAAACAATCATAATCTACTTAAACTTGGCTGGTAATTTTTGCAAAGGACTCTCGTAATCTCAGGTAAGTTTAATTAATTTAAAGTTAATCCTAATACCTAAAGTTGGAAGAATTTTGACATAAATAATTACGGTTTTAGTATTTAAAAAAAAAATGCTCTTATGATTATAATGATAAATAATACGAAATTGCAAATTGATTAACTCAAAAATTTATAATAATTAAACACAAACAAAATCTGAACATTGATTTCATAATAAGCCTTCGGTGGCTTGTAAAAATATATGGAATATATATAACAAATTCATTTGCTTAATTTTTTTGGGCGGAAGAGACATTTAAAAAGATGCTACAGAAAAAATCAAATCAACAAAATAAGTACCTTCGAACTTGCAATTATAATTATTTCTTTTATTTTGTTACAATGGGTGACAAAATACTGACAAAAACATGCACCATATTCTGTAAATTTACAAATAGCAGATACATTATTGAATGTATCTGCAATGGTTTGGTTCTTTCTTAACAGATTCCAGCTCAAGAACTTCGACCAAATCCGGAAAATTTAACCCTTTTACTCGAGAAGACTTGAATTCGGAAAAAAATTCTTATCTTTTGTTTTTGGAGAAGCTTTATAACATTGGAGTTTTTTAACATCCACTGAATTATATTTTCAATTGTCGTTAATTTATTTGGTGAGTATATATTTGACTTCTGTTCACATTGGAAACAATTGTTTTTTACGCGGAAAAATTAGGGTAGAAACAAAACTTGTTGATTTTCAATTTAAGCATTCATCCCACACCCTATCTGTTCTATTACGGTCAAATGATTTAACTCATTCCTAAATTATCTGCACAATTGCACCATTTTGAACTTTACATTTGAACGATTAGAAATTTCAATTAATTTTTCTTTGATGGGTAGTTGTACCGGATTACTTGTCGAAATTAAACAAAACAAGTGTCAATCCTACTTGGAATAATTGTATTATAGACAAAATAAATTGTATGGCAAAGTATACTTACATTATAGTATTAGTATCATCCAGATGTGAGTTGTCAATTCTTCAACTGATCAAATTTCTCTTCTCTAATTATCTTTAACTTTTTCTTAACAACTAGTTAATTACAATGTGTGAAATCAATTAAATTTTGTTTTCAAATTGGAACATTTTTATCTCAATGTCAAAATAACTTATTTAATAATTAGACTGTTCCTAGTGATTTAGCGGTTTTTTCCTTCTTTTTTTTTTATTGTTTATCCTTTTGTTTTGATATTTTGCTTTTACATTAGACATTAGTAATGAGACAATCTGGATTATTTCAATATTTATATATTAATTTTTTTTAAATTAGCTGATTGTTTTACTAGAATTTTTATGTCATTGTATAACAGATATCTTTTGCAAAGTTTCTTCTTGTTGTGAACTGGGAAGTGTAGTGTTTTATTTTCTGAAAATGTTAATTGATTTGTTTCATAAATTAGCATTTGTTTATCTCTTTTATTTTCTATAAGTTTTGAATACAAAGTCATACATACATTACAATTGCTTTCTTTATGAGTTATTTATATGTATAGTACTAAAATTTATACATAATTTATCACCTTGTATTACTTAAACTTAAGATTAATAAATAACAACTAATTTTATTTGATTATTTTTGGTATTAGAAAATTTACTCAGTGACATTTCCTCTGAATAGCCTTTAATAAAAATCAATCGATCTCATTTCTTAGGCTGTTATTTTAGGAAATTTTATTGCAAAGTATTTTTTATATGTGTTATTAAGCAATCAGTTTTAGTTTCTACGTTGTTAACAAATATTTTAAAAAAAATGCAATTTACCCTTTGTATATTAAAAAAAACACATGCATTTTGGATCTATCTGTTAATGGTTAATATTTCTGCCATACTGAAGAAAGTACTCTTTCTCTAATAACGATTTGGGCGTGACAATACCAAACTTACAAATAAAATATCGACGGAGGAAAATACCAAGCTACATTTGAAATAATCTTTATATAACAATAATGTTAGAACTAGTAATTGTTTAAAAATGATTCGGTCATAATTTTTTAATAAGAATCGTTCATTTATATATTAGCATATGTGAAAAGATATTTTTGTATTATATTAGTTTGCACTGGGGGGGGGGGATTGTTCTTCAGCTTTAGCTCACCAATAGTACTGGAAAACACATTAAAAAATCTTTTCCATTAATAAATACTTTGTTGGATTATTTTCAAAGTTAATTCAACTTTTTGTACTGTTGTTGAAATATTAATGTTCGCTTCTTTTTTCTACAGTGTGGGTTAGCGCAAATTCGTCGCCAAGCATGAATATTTTCTCCATTCAACTGGTTTTCCATCAAAACGGTATGTTCTTTTTGACACTTTTCTAGAAAGATTTTTTGTTTTAAGTTATAGTTTAAATATTGTTTGCTGTTTAAATTGATCATGTGCCTATAAAGTAAGTAGCTTTTATGTACAGCTTTGTTTAAGTAAGTCAAATTGCAAACTAACGTAAATTTGTATGTAACGGTTCCTTTATATTATTTTATTTATTTAATAATTTGTACTTACTTCTTTTTTTTTTAATAGTTAATCAAGAATTGAAAATGATACACAACATGGAAGGAGCTTAATGACGAAACTTGAGGTGACTTTAAATATTGATTAAATGTTTTATTTCCTTGCATGATGATAACTTTGGAATTACCGTTTGATTAATAATGAAAATAATTTTTGGCTGTTTAATTGCTGACATTGTAATATATAAACATATGTTTAACAGCCATTTTCTGAATAGTTAAATTTTATTTTTTGTCTAGGATTCTTTGCTGAACTTCATATCACGTGCAAACCAGGACGTCGATGATGAAAGTTGGGGTAATTTCATTTATAATTTTAATGGCTATTAACTTTTATACTTGAATGATGATAACTTTGGAATTACCGTTTGATTAATGATGAAAATAATTTTTGGCTGTTTAATTGCTGACATTCTAATATATAAAAATTGTTTAATAGACAATTCTGAATATTTAAGTTTTATTTTTTGTCTAGGATTCTTTGCTGAACTTCATCATGTGACAACCAGATCATCAATGAAGGATGTTGGGGTAATTTCATTTATAATTTTAATGGCTATTAATTTTTTTCCTTGCATGATGATAACTTTGGAATTACCGTTTGATTAATAATGAAAATAATTTTTGGCTGTTTAATTGCTGACATTGTAATACATAAACATATGTTGAACAGCCATTTTCTGAATATTTAAGTTTTATTTTTTTGTCTAGGATTCTTTGCTGAACTTCATCATATGACAACCAGATCATCAATGAAGGATATTGGGGTAATTTCATTTACAATTTTAATGGCTATTAATTTTTTCCCTTGCATGATGATAACTTTGGAATTACCGTTTGATTAATGATGAAAATAATTTTTGGCTGTTTAATTGCTGACCTTCTACTACATAAAAATCTGTTTAACAACCATTTTCTGAATATTTAAGTTTTATTTTTTGTCTAGGATTCTTTGCTGAACTTCATCTCATGTGCCAATCAGGTTGTTGATGATAAAAGTTCAGGTAATTTGATTTCTCATTTTGATGGCTATTAATATTTTTCCTTGTATGATGATAACTTTGGAATTACCGTTTGATTAATAATGAAAATAATTCTTGGCTGTTTAATTGCTGACAATAGTTTATAAAAATCTGTAAAATATCTATTTTATGAATATTTATGATTTATTGATTTTATTTATTTTTTTGTCTAGAATTCTTTGTGGAACTTGAGGTCATGTTCCATCCTGGCCGATGAATAAAGTTGAGGTAATTTAATTTATAATTTTAATGGCTATTAAATTTTTCCTTGTGTGATGATAAACTTGGAATTACCGTTTGATTAATAATGAAAATAATTCTTGGCTGTTTAATTGCTGATATTATAATATCCTTTTTTTCTTTTTTTTTTTTATATGTAATTTAAACACTGTTTTTTGTGTAGAATTCTTTGTGATCATCAAGTGTCCAACCAACCAGGTTGTCGATAATGAAAATTAAGGTAATTTGATTAATAAATTTTGAATTAATTGTTTGATCAATAATGAAAACAAATTTTTGGCTATTCAATTGTTGTCATTATAATTTATAAGAGTATCTTTTCAGAATATTAGTTTTTATTTATTTATTTTTTTATTTATTTATTTTTTTTTTTTTTTTTGTCAAGGTTTCTATGCCACATATGTCATTCGCCAGCCAGGTCATTGATGATTAAAAGTTTAGGTAATTTGCTTTATTATTTTAATGGTTATTAATTTTTTTCTTGTATGGTGATAATTTCATAATTGATAAACAATGAAAAAATATATTAAACATAAATATTTAACAATTATATTGTTTTTGTTTTTCTTTAGTGTCTGGATTTTCGTAAAGGATATAAAATTGAAGACGAAGTAGACCACTTTTTCAAGTCAAAGTAATTGATTTATTTATTCTTAATTAATGCATATACTAATTTAACTTTTATGATGATAACTTTGGAATTACCGTTTGATTAAATAATGAAAAACAATTTTTGGCTGCTTTACTTCTGATAACACTAAACTGATAAATAAATACGGTGATATTGTTTTATGTTTAAAAACTATGTAAATCATTGTTTTGTTGTAGGGTTTGGTCCTTACAAATTTATGCACTATCAGCAATGGGAGGAAAAGTTAAATGTCGATTCACATTTAAACACTACTGATAGATTTGTCCATGGAATCTATGGAGTGATGAGCCTGCAGTTTGGTCTTTTCGATCATTTTTGTCCGCCTGTCTAGCTGGTTTGGCCTGCCAGATGCATTTCAACATTTCACAGAATATTTTTGAGGCAGCTTGTCTGTTTTTTATTTTTTAATTATTCTAAAAGAGGCTCGTAGATGTGTTTTTATAAACTGTAATATTTGTATAAAAATTAAACAAAATATACAGATAATTACAGTCAATATTTCTTCTTTCTCGCTCTAGTTACCCGTTATTGTAGTTTAAGTTTGCAAACAAATAATGGATAATACAATACCAAAGCCCTACTGCAGATATGCACAAAATAATTGCTGAATCATTTTAGGTCTTAGGTCTTGAAGCAAGGTGTCACATACAAGGCCACCTGACAATCAGAACATACTGCACACATACTTGCAAGTTTGGCTACCAGATTCGGAAATATTTTCATAATCTGAATCACTTTCGCATTATTTACCCATCATCGCTCATTTTAAAAACAAAGCAAAAAACTTAGGTTTGGCACAAAATAAACAACAAAATTATTACATAAAAACATTCCTTTAGTTATTAGCAAAAATTGTGTTTGCTAATATCTACCTACAGTAGATTTTATGAAAAGACCTGCTTGTAAGTGTAAAGAACTACAACGAATGTTGCTGGGACTAAAATACAGAGTTAAGAGAGAGAAAAATTTGCTTGATTTAACTTGGACAGAATTGAAAATTGTATTCTTTAAAAACGAGTTATCTGGTGATAGTAAGGCAAGTGGGTTAAGAAAACAGAACAACAAAACATGTATATTACTAAATTCATACAAATCACTTTTGCGCTTTACCTCTAATAAAAAATACCATAAAATCTGTGTAACATGCTAATAATTTAGCATAGTAAGTGGGGCAGTGGTGGCAGGTTGAAACTCATTTGTGATTTATAATTGAAAGGTTCCAGGTCTAATCTCTTTTTACTGGAAAAACACAAGAACCACAGAGTTCTTAACGCGTCACTTTGATTTTCCTATCCACCCCTTTTATAATGGTCCAAATATTGGGTTGTCCGGAAAATAATGCAGGATTTTAAGTTTNGAAATTATTTTGATTAAAGAACATTGCTTTAAAGTAACTAGTTTCTTTTTTTTTGTTTAATACCAAAATCCTGCATTATTTTCCGGACAACCCAATAACATAATGGTTGGGTTAACATATTCTTTTATGTTTTAATGCTTTTTTAGTATTTTAGCTTTTATAAGTATACCATTTTGACACTGTTTTATTTTATTATTTTACAAATTGATAAGTAAAAAAATAAGTATTTTATTATATTAAATTATTATTATTTTATATTAAATAAGTATTTTATTTTATATTTATTTCCTTCATCACCGTATTGGATTAGTTGCATTAATTGATTTTATTATTATTAGTTATGTAAGTGCATACAGGTTTACCTAAATAGCATGTAAAATAATGTTTATAATAAACTGCTTGAAAAGACAATATTGTCAGTATGAGATAAACTACAAATTGTGAAAAATGTGTATGTACAGATGTAGTAAAAATAATTATAAAATGTACCCTTGGTTGTTAGCTGGCTCAACTAAGTCTTAGAACCAAATAAAAATTTGTTATAAAAAATTATACAATTGGAAAGGAAATTGTGTGGAGTAATTTTTGGCAGAAAATCATTAGAATTACATAAAATTGTATGATTTTTGTTTGTTTAAAAAAGATAATAGACATTTTTGACAGAGTGGTTGTAATGTCTATGTCGTAACTGAACAAATGGATGGAGGTAGAAATTACTACTCATTGGATGAAATCAACAGGTGCAAAACAGCCAGAGAATTTTCTCGATGTTTCAACAAGAAAAACAAAAATCTACCACTACCTTAGTAGGCAGGAATTAAAGGAAATAATAGACAACTACATTTAACCCTTGTCAATTCAAATTTCGTGATAATACGAACTCAGAGGGTCACTTCTGCAAATTGAGAAAATTCTGTGCATTTCGATACACTGTAATACAAAATATTTTTCATAACAGGGGGAGAAAAGCATGCTATTAATCGAAATGGAGCCACTTCCCATCTTGATAATTTGCACTTTTTCTTTGTTATATTCCTCTAAATTTCCATGTATTGTTTTCTTCCTAACAGCCAAAAGTTTCTTCAAATTTTCTCTGGTTTATTATGTTCTGCCTTCTGCGATCAGTGTTTTGTCAATGGTCACTTTGGAAAATCTTTTATTTTAAACAAAGGACACACCACGCCATATTGAAACAAAAACCACTTCAGGATTTTTTTAATAAGTTGAATTTTACAATTGATCTATTTCCACTTTTTCATTAATTTTACCATGTATTATATATGTACAATTTAAGTAATAAGTTGAAAAAATGCATATCAACTCTTAACATTTTTTTTTTCTTTCGTCTTGATAATTAGAATTATTTTTGTGGCCCTTTGGGTTTCAAATTATCAAGAGTCGACTGTACCAATTATTAGACCAACACCGATATTTAGGCATTTCACTGTTTTAAGTGGTTAGCATTTTTTATAAATTGTGTGGTGGTTGTTTAGTAGATCAATATTTCAACCAGAAAAACAAAAATCTACCTCCACCTTAGTAGGCAGGAATTAAAGGAAATAATAGACGACTACAGTTCCATTGCTATCTGTAAGTATAAGCGATACGAATACATATAATCAACTAAATGGTTTGTAGAAGGACGTACCAATGAAATAAAGTAATGTTTAGGTTCAGGCTTTTAAGCTTTTTTGATGAGGTCACCAGGAAATTTTTTTGTAGGACAGGGCTTCCCAATCTTTAGCCAGCCAGGACCCTTTTCACAGAACAAAATCCAGGGCAGACACCTCATATTTAATTATTTTAAATTAAATACTTATAGTGTAGTTGTATAAACTAGCTAGTACATTCCTAATTAGTGATGGAAAGGGCTATGAAAACAGACATTAGGTTGATATGTGTAACTTTATTTACAAAATCCAGAACACAAAAATCAAATGGGACAGAACAAAATCAATATGTATGTAAAACTCGAGCCAAATTCAAATCTAATAATTTGAACATTAATGAAAAGAGTGAGGTTGTTTTAGCCTGCACAATTTGGATATGTTGGGTTTAATTTTAGATAGTTGGAGACAGATGTCATGGTTCTGCATCTAGACGGCTTCAGTATTTAGTTTTGGTGACCGAGTAGATCCAGTAGTAGAAAATCCAGATTCAGATGGGTAAGTTTTGACAAATGGAAGAACACGTTTTGCTTTTTCAACGAGCGGTTAAAATTTTTTGTTTTCCAGACAGATTCACAAATGGGGGTAAGTATTGGACTCGAAAGTAGATTTTAAGGTTTCATATTCAGTTGAAGATAGACTGGTTGGCTTTGTTAAAGTTGAAAACAGTTTTGCCACCTATTAATGGTCTTGCAGTATTGAATGTATCCTTAAGCTGTTCGGATATAGTGTTCATAGGACATCTCCCAACTTCCAAAGTGTTCACATGTCTCATCAATCAATGTGCCATTTGCAAGCTACAGTTTTTTTTTTCTTTTAAAAAATCATTTAACATAGAAAAACACTCCTCCTCTTCCTTTTTCATTTGAAAGTGTGAATTTTTTCATTAGCATCGAATGTTGTGATACTCTTCCCATACAAAGAAAGACTCCTCATTCATTTAAGGAAAATATCTGATAAATACGATAGAATACATTGCCTTTTCTCATTATTGAAATTGTTGGCCAATTTGACATTGTGGTCTATCAAGAGGGATAAGAATTTAAAACGTAAATCCTGTAATTTTGAATGTGAATTTCCCTTGGGATACCACCTCACTTCTGTATAGTGAAGTGAGAATGTGCTTCACATAGTATTGTGAAGTCTTGACTTCAATAGCTTGATATAATTAATAATTTGAATAGATTTTCTGAAAGAGGCTGGCATTTGTTTCACAGCTAAAACATGTCTACAGAGAACAACGACTGCTACTGCAAAATAAAAAAAAATTGTTTTCAGTACTCATTGTTATTAATTTTTTAATTTTATTTATTCATTCTACATTTATTTTTTAATTATTAACTTTTCTCGAAGTTCAGCGTGAACCCCAGTTTGGAAAGCCCCGTTCTACGGTCTTCCTGACATATCACAATTGAAATTGATCAATTGGGCTCTAAAAAACACACTTCTTAATAAGATTTTCTCATAAATAATGTACATATTGTTTTTACTTAATTTATTTTTATCCACAACTGTACATTTATTATATACAACCAGCAGATTGAATTTCAATTTATGTTTGTGGCAATACAGGTGTTACAGAGAAAGCTCCTCATTGGCTGCTGCTCTGTATTAATAAAATGATATTAATAATTTTGTAGGTCTCTTATCTATATTCTTTTAAGTCGCTTAGTGGTAATTGTGGGGAACGGAGTAATCGTATTTGCGTGTTAGTGTGATTTTGTAATTTACTATAAACTGTAATATGTTTTGATGTATGAAAAAAAAAACAGTTGGCATGTGAAAATCTCCGTAAAGTGTGTTCTTGTTTATGTAAAAAGTAGCAGAAACAATTAGTCTTAAAATTTTGGATTGAAAACTTTTTAATCTTTGAATAATTGAATATTTGGCCGATTACTAAACTTGGCCCTGTACATCCAAATAGATTTGAGTAGGTATATATCGAAAGTTTTGATTTTAATGGTCATTTTGATTGTCGATTAAGTATGCGGATGACATAGTCCTGACTGCCAGGGGAAAATTTGAGGAAACTCTGCGATATAATCCAAGAGGGACTAAAAATCACAGAAGAATGGTGTAAAAGTTCTGGTTTAGAGATCAATCCCAACAAAGTTAGTTGTTTTTACACGGAAAAGGAAACTTGATCACATGAGGGAAATAATACTCATAACACCGTGATAGAAAAATGAAGTCAAATATCTGGGCATCACACTAGATAAAACACTAACATTTAAGAAACACATCAGCTCTACCATCATGAAGGCAACACGAGCTTTGATGGTGTGCAGAAGAATAGCAGGAAGGAACTGGGGATGCAGACCGGAAACCCTGTTATGGATGTACACCATGATAATATGACCTTTACTTACATTTGGAGCTATAGCCTGGGCAGAACAAATAACCAAAAGAAAAGAACTCACAAAAATACAGAGACATGCATGCATCTGCATAACGGGAGCAATGAGAACATGTCCTACAATTAGCATGGAAAAATACTAGGATTAATCCCCCCTACATCACATGGTAGTAAGGACAGCGCAGAAAACCATCATCAATCAACTTTATCAAAGAGAAACCTCCAACAGGAATAAAACTGAAATGGAGAGATAGCAATAAATTATGGAAAGACCATCCATGGCTCCAAGAGACGACATGAACAGGATGTTTGAATTTAACCAACAATTCTGAATAAACCTGGGTACCAAAAAAGAATGGGAAAGAGAGGGAAATAACTCCTTTAAAAATGGCACCATCCTTTGGTACACAGATAGATCTAGAACACAAGAAGGTACGGGGGCAAGAGTATTTGGACCTGGAACCAAATACTCAGAACCCATGAGAAAACACGCCAGTATCTTCCAAGCTGAGATTCATGCAATTGAAAGATGTACCCAATTCAACAAGTAAAGGGTACAAAAACAAGAATATAGCTATCATGTCAGATAACCAAGCAGCCATCAAAGCACTAAGCTCAAATACCATTAGTTCAAGGATGGTGCTAAACTGCAAAACCAAACTAAACATATTAGGTATGCAGAATAAAGTCAGTCTCTGCTGGGTCCTAGGACACATGGGAGTAGAAGGCAACGAGAAAGCGGACACCCTTGCAAGGAAAGGGGTTGCCACACCGCTGATAGGACCTGAACCCTTCTGTGGCATAGGAATCCACACTATTGACGAATATCTCAGACAGAAGGACAAAAAGAAAATGAAGGAACAATGGAATTCACTCATTGGACACAGACAATCCAAGAATCTTCTAACCAATTTTGGTAGGAAAGAAATCACAGAATGTGTCAAAGGAAGCAGGAACAGACTGCGAATCCTAACAGGACACTGCAGATTTAATGGACACTTAAAGAAAATTGGAACAATTCAAGAAGGCACATGCAGATTCTGCAAGGAGGCAGAAGAGACACCAACACATTTACTAACAAACTGCGGAGCTACATTAGCCTGCAGGAGGAAATTTTGGGATGTATAATGTGACCATAGAAGAGCTTCAACCATTGAAACCGGGCCTATTAATCAAGTTTCTTGATGAAATAGGACTCACCAATGTGCTTTAGGCAGAAAACGGGGCTACAATAGCTCTTAAAGGGCGCAGTATATTACACCCCGAATAAAGTATGTAATAATTCATTTTAAATGGTTTGTTGTTTTTTAAATCTTGTATGTGAATTCCCAGTTACTCTTTTATCAAATGCAAGTCCTAAATAGTTCACTTTAGTAATATTAGTTAAAAATTAATGGCCTTATTAATTCCTTCAATTGCCTGTTGTAAACCCCTTAAATTTAATAAATTATTCCTTTTTGTTTTTTTGCGGGAAATAACTTTTATATTTAAATGTGTAGCCGGTTTGAGGGATATAGGGCAAAATATTGTATATATGAAAATATGAAATGAAATTTGTAAAATAGAAAATTGTGTGGTGTTTCCATTCCATGACAGAAAGATGTAAGGATCAAGAGAGCCGCAGTTCGCCTCTGTAACCTCAGTCAGTAACCTAAAACAAAACCCAGCTTTGGACTCCCAAGTCAGTAAATTCGTCAACTCATCCATAAGTCCCGAGCGATGGCAACTTCTGTACTCTCAAACGTAGTCGCACTCCACAACAATCTTAAGACGGAATGGTCGAAGAAGCCGCCCAATTTGGAAAATTGTCGACAACTCTTGACCCACCTTAAAGTAAAGCTTTCAAATTAATTTCGGCCGATTGTCTATCAGGGGGACTAATTTTAAACTTTTTTTCCACCCATTGCAGATCGCCCTCACGGATTTAATGTTTCTGCCAACTTCCAGTACGAAAGCGTCCCAAAAAGAACTGATTATAGCAAGTAAGCATTATCTTTTAATCTTGTCAGTTAAAAAAAAATCTTTTTTCTTTTTCAATCGCTTGTATCAGACAGACGTGACTGTACATTTCTGCTTGGTCATTTCTAATTTTTATCTTTAAGACAAACAGAAGTCATTTCTAATTTTTATCTTTAAGACAAACAGAAGTCGATAATATCATAGATTTATCTTCTCCGGTCATCCTCACTTTCCTGCGTACTTGATACTTTTCCACCATCTTCAGCCGTCAATCTGCTTGTTTGCCTTGCAAAGTATCGCAATCTTCACATGTGTTCATTAACTCATTTAGATAAAATACATAAAAATTTAACGCACCTTTTAATGTATTTAGGTTTATTCATATTTGCGTACCAAAAATAGGTCTGGTTGTACAAATAAGACATATAAAAAGGAAATTTTTGTTCTCTAACTCTAAAAAAACCTTCTGCCCCCTTAGATTAGATTATGTAGGAGCTGGCCCCCTTACAACCTGCACACTCTGACCAGTATTGGTTTATTGTGCATCTCCATTCTTTTTTTTTTATCTATAGCTTTAAGGTTTAAGGAGTTAAGCTTAAGGCTTTTTGCCAGACCCCAAAGCTTTTTCAAGGACTCCCGGGTGTATCCTTCAGGCCCTGGCTTTTCCTCTCCCATGATTAGTAATCTCTGCCAACATAGGCCTTCGCACCCACAGAGGAAATGTTTCGCTGTTTCTTCTTCAAGGCAATATATGCGTAGGCTTGTTTCTGCCAGTCCGATTCTAAACATGCCTCTGGAGTCTGCAGTGTCCAGTCAACAGTCCAACTATTATTCTAGTCCTAGCATGTCCTATATTTAGTGCTTTTTGTCCCCTTTAATAATATAGTAATTATTTCCATCTCTGGCAACGCCTTTGCATTCCTTGGAAAATAATTATAATAAAACCCTGGGGTATTCTTTCTCATTCAAAAACAGCCATTTTCAACTCTTCTAGGGTGTTAGGACCTGGGTTCGACATTGTATTCGTAGCTTAAGTTGGTCCCAAATGTGTTTATTTGGTTCAAATCTACACTTTCAGCTAGCACCAAGTGCTTAATTCCAAGCTCATTCAAAAAGTGTTCTATCTAGCCTGGCATTATCAAGAATCTCCCACTGGCAAATGGCACTAAATGTTCTTCGATTATGTCTTTTAAGCAAGTACCTCTGTGAAGTTCTTCCTCGCACAACAACCAATTCAAAAATATAATACTTTATTTAATTTAAAGGGGGTGTCAATAGCCACAGAGGTTAGGCATTGAAATGGCGCTCATTAATGTAAGGTAAAGGTCCCAGGTCACCGGCACTCAGAGGGTTGATATGACTTTTACTGTTGCAAATCCTCTTCAAAAATAAAAAAAATATTTAAAAAATCGATATATGGAATTTTCTTGCTACTAATGCCTTGTTAAAGATATTAAAAAAATAAATAAAAATTGTTTGATGCTATTGGGCGGGCTTCCCAAACTTATAATCCGGTGGGATTTCTGGTGATTGCCCAACACTCTGGGTTGTGTTTTTATCTGTCTTGGGGAAGGTGTGAATGACATGGCACACATGCATATCCTTCAAAGTCAATCAGCCCCTTTTAGCAGTACAGAAAGAAGGTTTGAAGAAAAGTTGGGATATGCGCTGGGCTTTCATGGGGGTGACGTGCCTTGGTGAGTGGGGTATCCCCCTTTTTGGTGTAAATGAGGCATTCCCTATGACATAGCTGTCACTCATATGTCACATGGTTTATGGCTATAAAACCGATTTAAAAAAAAAAGTTAAATATATAATTTTATTCTGATCCTTGGAAATTACATGTAAAATATGAAGTATTAAGTTTGCATTTCACTTTAGGAGATATTCTTGAAATTGGTGCTCAATGGAGTATCGCAACAAAGGATATTCCTTCATTTGAAAGATACATGGCTCAACTTAAATGTTACTACTTGGATTATAGGTGGGCTAAACATTTTCAAATATTTACGTTTCTCTATGATATAATTACTTTTTGTTTTGATGGAATTTTATAGAGATGAATTGCCCGAATCTGCTTACAAGTATCAGCTTTTAGGACTAAATCTTTTACTTTTACTTTCGCAAAACCGTGTTGCTGAATTTCATACAGAACTTGAATTACTGCCGTCTGATCAGATTCAGACTAATATTTATATACGCCATCCGCTTTCCCTTGAACAATATTTAATGGAAGGAAATTATAACAAGGTAAAGGCAAAGATTCTAGTTATTAATCGTTAAAACATTGCTCATGTTTTGGTGCTTTTTTTCTCAGATATTTTTGGCAAAAGGTAATGTTCCGGCGGAAAGTTACAATTTCTTCATCGATATCCTATTGGAAACAATAAGGAATGAAATTGCCGGTTGTTTAGAGGTTGCTTATAAAAAAATATCAACACCAGATGCAACAAGAATGTTGAACTTGACCAGCCAAGCAGCTTTAAAAGAATACGCTGCAAAGGTAAAAATAAATAAACAAGGATAACCATGTAAACTAGAAATTTAAACATCCTCTGAATAACATTAAACATGTTTTTTTCTTTCAGAAAAATTGGATCCTCGGACCTGATAATTACTATTACTTCACAACCGATGATAAGAAAAAGGGTGATGACACGCTTCCTTCTAGGGAGGTGGTTACGCAGGCTTTGGAGTATGCCAGAGAGTTGGAAATGATAGTTTAAAGTCAAAATTTATTTATTATCTATTATTTTGTAAATAAACAATTTCTACATTTAATAAATAAAAGTTTGATAAAACGAAATATAATCTTTTGTAAAATTAAAAATTGTTTGAAATTAAACATTTTCAATTAACTTTCGCAATTCATCTCTTTTAATTTTGACTGTCTCTGTAGATTCGTGTTTTTGTTTTCTCCAAATTCCATGATCCAAATCCAACATCCCTCCAATAATTTCCTGTTAAAAAATTATCGTGTTAGTTTTCAATGCGGAACAAATTTACAAGTTATTTAATAGCATTACTTGGGCAAAATTTCTTGGAAAAAGCTTGTAGTCTTCGATGACGTGGGCATAACCACTCTGCATTCCAAAATCGACTGCAAAATAAGGTAGCCCTTTTGGTACAGCTTTTCTAACATCCCGTCCTGCGAGCTCGACAACTTTTTTATTATTTGACCACTCTGTTTCGCACTCCAGCATAGCTTTCTAAAAAAAGTTTGATGTTTAAGGTTTTACAGATTTACAAATCAATCCAACAAATTGTACTTTGAAGTAAATCGGCGCCACATCCCCGATCTCTTTAGGTACAGGGACACAATGTAGAAGCATATGGGGGTGTTTATGAAAATTGATGGCGTGCTCGAAAAATATTACATCATTATCATCTTTTTCGAAGAGTTTTACAAGTATCTTTCTCATTTCCTGCAATAACACAGTTTTATAATTTATTGTCTCTAAACAATCCCTCGACTAGTATTACCATAATGTCATCCCAAACATCTTCGTCAACTTGAGTGCCACATGAAACATGGAAATTGGGAACTATGAGGCAATGGTTTGTTGTCAGCGATTGGAAAGGGGGAACACATAAATGAACCTAAAACAAAAAGAACTGTTTATTAAAATTATATAGATAAGGCAAAAGTAATAACAATTAAATTTTATTACACCACGAAATGAAATTATAGCTGGGATAAGTTTTAATTAACTAGTTTATGGAAAAGTTCATATTCAACATAATACATTCATCTATAAATTTAATCCTTATTTAAATTAATTATAATTTTTATCTTGTTGAGATGAAAAAGTATGAGCAGAATTTGAACCACGATCTTCATCTCAATAAGCTGCTGCTCTTACCATTTGGGTACACATCAAATTGATCCACTTGGATTCCATGCCTTATCTCAACCTACAATATTTCGAATTTCTCCTCTTTATGCCATATTTTCAAATATCAAGAATGAATTATTTTATTTAGCAAAATAATTTCTATTGGTATCTATAGCCTTCTCCAAACACGTTAACAACGCAATTATGTCCTCGAAGAAGTCCTGGAGCTTAAAAAAAGCCCATTTTTCAGCTTTTTTTACTGTGTGAGATCTTGCATTGTCCTTGTGAAAAATTACACATTTGCTGTTGTTCCTGGTCTGGCCACGAGGTAGGAGTTAGTAGTGTGCAATGCCTGCCAAATACAAAGCATTACCTTTTGTTGGTGAACTTTGGTTTGGTGACAGCTAATGGTTTAGTTTTTAGATATTTTTCATCACATGAGAAAGCTAGTCAAAAAACATCTCTACTTTGTGCTGTGAAAGCTACAAAAGGCAATTGTTTAGACATTGAAGCTTGTTATTATCAGTCAATTTGCTCAGCATCCATGTCTTCCCAAGTTCATGCGAGCAAGGGCTGTAAATTAGGTTAGTAGCAGTGTACCCAACAATTGCCTAGGTTGTGGAAATCATAAATTCCAACAAATGCTCTAGTTGGTTAAAAATTATGCAAATCCCAAATCCTACCACCAAATCTATGAAGGCCTTGGCAAAAGGTGGGGCAAATGCGACTCCTGCGTGTGTAAACATTAGACTAAGAGAAACATCCCAAGCTAAAATGTTAGCAAACGTGCTACAGGATGAATGGTCAAGTAAGTTGCGGTTCTTAATGTTCCCCAGGAGGCAATGGGTGTCAACTCCTTGTATACTAGTCACCTTACTCATACAAACTCATGCAGATGGACCTTTAGATCTCTAGCTTCTCATGGGAACTAGATGTATGTACCATAAGAAAAAACTACTAATATAAATAAACCTCCTGTGAGGATAGTATTCCCATAGGTGAAGTGCCCCATCAACTAGAGTCATGAAGGCTAAGTTGAGGAGATAGCTAATCTCTCGGCAGATAAGGTATTTTATGCCTGACTGTCGGGAAAGGAAGACGAAGCAAGCCTTACTCAAAAAAAGAGTTGAGGACATTCTGTGATGTGGGAAAACTTCCTAAGGACATCTGTCCAACCAATGCAGTTGCCTATCGAAAGGCCTCGGTCTGAAGGTAACGCACCCAGCAAAAAAGACCCAAAGAAGCTGAAACCTATGCAGAGAGAGCAACCCTTCAGTGAGGCCCTGGCAGTATAATAGACCCCGATAGGCTGGATTCCTCCAGGATGGAATGGACAATGAGTTTTCTAATCATTGCCGGAGCACAAGATCAGTGCTGAATGGCTGCTAGAGGGTGCCCATAGAAGCATATAGACTCAGAGTGGTAGAAACAAGCCTGTGCAGATATTGCCAAAAAGAAGAAACAGGGAAAAACATATCCTTTGTTGGTGTGATGGCATATGTAAGCTGTGATTCCTACTCCTGGGTGAAGAAAAGCCCGGGCCTGAAGTATACCCACAGAAGTCCTTGAAAAAGCTTTTGTGCCTTGTAAAAATCTTTAAGCTTGACGAGGAACTCGAAACAATGTAGATGCACAATAGACCAATATTGGTCGCGGAGCGTTGCTCGTAAAGAGGCCGGCTCTTAATCTAATCTAGAGCAAATGGTTTTGTCAATTACGTTGACCACTCTGGCGAGCTTCTGACATGTTTGGTGTGAATCAAGTTCTACAGTTTCCATCAATTCATCGTCATTCAAGGCCGAAAATCTACCAGACCATGGTTTATCTTAAATCCTCTCATTCCCAGAAGCAAACTTTTTGAACCAGTTTTGAGCAGTGTGCTTATTGTTTATGTATCACTGAACACAATAAATTAAATTTAATACTTTTTCAAAATACAGTGAAAATTTAATGAGCTGTCTCAGCCGCACTAATCAGTGTAAATTGCTACAATAAGCATGCATGAAACATCAGTTTTGAAGCCATTAAAAAAATATTAAAAATATAAATAAAATTTATAGTAGTCTATGTCCAGACAGATTTTAGGAACTGACGGATTATCTATTTACGTTTAAATCGAAATTATTAATTTAACTGTATTAAAACAATAACAAATGAAAAACTTCACAATTTTTTTCTGGTTATTCGGCAATATAAAAACCCTAATCTGGCCTGTTTTTTAAAAATAGAAAATCTTCCCTATAAGAATGTATCACTGAACACAATAAATTAAATTTAATATTATAATTTTGTTTCTAATAACATACCTTACTCCTAGTTGTTACAATTATATCTTGTTGTGCATTTAATCCCATTATGCACCATCGGCATTCATCAAACGCTTTCTCTTTTTTGATTTGGTTTTGAATCGTCTGACTGATTTTCCTACTGTTATCCTTTGCAGAGTTATCAGTAGCCGCAGTTTCTTCAAATGGATCGTCCAGTGCCAAAGAACCATCTTTTCTTGACATTTCCTAAGTAGATGTAGGAATTTACTTTGTTTTACTTTTTCAAATAAACTTTTTACAGTACTCACCCTGCCCATAAGTCTTGCAAAAGTTGCATTTTGATCAGCTACAGTGTTAAACCTCTCGTTTTCAAACTAAAAAAACAAAATTGTTGAAAGATTTATTAAAATGCAATATATCAACTGCCTACCATATCTTGAAGAGAATGTTTATCATCATCCGCAAAATACCTAACCCTCTGTTTGTTCTCATGTGTTGCAACTCTTCTTTTCTTCGACCTTCCAGCTTCAGTGGGTGCAGTAAATGGTCTAGTGAATCCCCTGCTGTCGGTTTCAGTAAGAGTGACAATCTGTTTACTTCTGGAGTTATTCGATTCACTAGCAGCTCTAGCATTCTCAAGCTGTTGTTTGAGCTTAGCTGCCAAAGCCGTGTCACCCATGATCTCAGCTTTGATCATTCGGGCCCCCAATTTGTTCAGCTCGTCTTTGCTCAAAATTTTATCCTCTGGTTCATCTTGTGACGGTTCGTTTATTGGTGTTTGTCGTTCACGTTCAGGAGTCGCCCTTCGATCTCTAATGGAATAACTATGTTTATTTTCATTGAACAAATTTCAATTTTAAAATAAGAAACTTAAGCCAAATGCAAAAATAATATTCAACTAAATATTCTCAAATGCATCTGCCTTAAAGTCATAAATTAAACAAAATTATTGCTTACTTTGATGAATCTTCAGTGTTTTTATTTTCTGACGGCTTTCTCCATCCTTTTCTTGAAGAGTTTGAAGAATAACTTTGCCTATATCCTTCAGGTTGCCTATTTCTCGTATCGTCAAAATTACCATGGGATGATTTATATTGAGAATGTTCCTTCCTATCTTTTTCCTCGTCGAGATCTCTTCTACTTCTTACAAAATCCTCATCGCTGTCTTTTGGAATTCGAAATCTAGATTTGGATTCTTGTCCAAAATGTTTTCTTGATCTTCTATCGTCACTTTTGCCATCGGCACTATCGTCTCTCCTATGTCTCCTATCATCTCTTTCACCATCAGGATCATGTGGCATTTTGAATCGTTGCTTTGTTTCATTTCCATCAACAGGACTTCTGAACGAAGGTCGATGTTTATCTCTGTCTCGACTTCTATCCCTCTTGTATCTATCTTCTCTTTTAAAATCCTTATACTCTCGATGGCCAAATTTATTTCTCCTTGCTTCTTTAAGTTCAGCCTCATCTAATAATTGCTTCAGATGATCTAAACTCTAACATCAATATCATTGAAAAAATGAAATTAACATAAATTTTATATATTATGCTAAATTTTATTTATTTATATATTATTTAATATTCCTTTTACATATTAATTTTATAACATTGTAGTAAAAAAAGGCTTCTTAAATAAACTGAATAATTTATTATGTTCTAATTGTGTTTCATATTGTTTTATTGCAATTATCAGTCAAAAAGTTGTGAACTTTTAAGATGTAGAACATAGCTGAAATTTCTTTTATAACAAATGCTAAAATCTTGTTAGTATGTGGCCAATATTAAAACAATCAACAAAACAATCCCATGCCGACAGCCTTGGCTGCTATGTGACCCCCAGCCAGCCTGATTTTGAATTGTACAATTAATTTCAAAGAATTTTAGGTTGCACCAATTCCATTCAAAATTTGATAGTAAGTACCTTGGGCATTATATTTTACAATGGAAGTAAATAAATGCAAGGTGAAAAAATTGTTTAATTAAAAATTTATTTTACTCAAAAAGTCACCATTAGTTATATTTTTAATTAATTAATATCTTTATGTAAAATGATATTGAGATGAAAAAATAGTGTTGCAAGCAGGACTCGAACCCATGAAATCCACATTAGTACATTCACACGGTTACAGAGTTGGAAAAAAAAATAGGGTAGATGGTAGGGAAGGGTAGAATGATGGGCAAGACAGGAGTAAGAGGTAGATGAAAGTACGACATTCCCAACGAGACAGATATTGTGGCTGAATGGCTTTATAGAAACCATAGAAAAAAGAACATGTTGCAATTTTGCAAAAGTGAGGCCAGATTGTGAACAGAAGGGGAAGAAGAGTGGTTCGGTTTGGACGGGGACTGGGTAAGGTCTCCATTCACTACCGAGGTGTCTGTAAAAACCTCATTTCAATAGATGTCAGTGTTCAACTAGGGCTCCTAAAAGGCAAAAAAAATGAGATAACTCATCACAAGTCCCAAAAAATGGGTAAAGACGTTTTTAGACCTTGCCTTAAATTAAAACGAAAAAGCCCAGAGAAGGAATGGGGTTGAGCTATTTAAATAGGGCTCCCTTCCTGTTACTCCTTTATTTTAGGTTAAAAAAGACTTCTTAAAAATATAAAATTGTCAATTTTGAACAACAAATACTTATTTAAAGGAATGATCATTTCCAACTGCTCCGTCAACCCTCTTGTTGAAGTCTTATTGGGTGTTGGAGAGATACCACGAACTGGAGTGTCTAAGCAATGATGGCTGTTGTCTGAGTATCCAGACAAACAGGTCTGGAGAGTAAAGAAAAGGCGGATGAGGCAGCTAAGGCCTTGACATCCCCACTTCTGGACTTAACCACCACGATCCAGCCCCCGTCGACAAGTGGCCCTTGGAAAACCCGATTCATAGAAGAAGGGTCATCCTCACCCGATGATGAACAGGCCATGTTTGGTAGATACATAGACTTTTTGGCCAAAACCCTTTTTTTTGTCCAGCATGCACATGTTACTTGATGAGTCCCACCTAAGGGAATGGTGAAATTCCTTGACTCCATATAGAAACTGCATAGGAATGGTTATGCAATTCTGTAGGGGACGTGATAGATTTATTATTCCCAATTTATATATTAATATAGTTGAGAGTGAATGCATTTATTAGCATGAATGTGTAGTGTATGAGGGCTGGTAACGGAACATTGAGTACTCCATCGACCCTCAACAGGTTAGTTATGTAATATGTAAAATAGGTGTTGGAAGAATAACAAGTTCTCCACCATCCTAACTGAGGGATTGGTATGTAAATAGATAAGATGTATTTGAGTGAGTGAGGGTGTGAGTTGATTTATGAACTGACTGCACTGGGGGCATAAATGACCAAGCTGTTGTTAAGAGCCCATGAAACCCAACCCAGGGTGGATGAATCTCAAGACCTGCTGGTAAATTACAAAAGCTGGAATTCCCGGTGGACTGCGAGAAGCAATAGGTTCAACTCTGTAAGTATGATTTTTTGGAGTTCATGAGATGCGGTCTGGTGTGATGTAGGTTTATAAAAATATTTTCTTTACCATGCCAACGTTTCAATCTTTATTGAGATCATCTTCAGGGCTCAGTGTTTGTTTTCTGTGTAGATGTTTCATTACTGTGTGTCGTGTTGAGAGTGCACTCTAGGAATGACACATCTTCAAAGAAAACAAACACTTTGAGCCTTGAAGATGATCTCAATAAAGATCAAAACGTTGGCATGATAAAGAAAATGCTTTTCTAAACCTACGTCACACCAGACTGCATCTCACGATCTCCAAATAATCATTAATTAATGGTCACTAAATACCACACATTTCTGTAAGTAGTAAACGTGTGCAGATTTGGGCTAAATTAAAATACAAATTAGATATAAATGGATAAATTAGAATATAAATCTATCTAAATGTTTTACTCACACCCCATCGTTCAGCTACAACAGATTCCAAGCTTACACCCTTTTCTACTGCTTCCTCTTTTGCTCTTTGAAACGCCTTTCTGAGCCACTTAATGCCATGGTCACCAACAGTCTTAGTTAGATGACCAGATAAAGATTTATTCTCGGAAGGAAGCCCAGTTCCACCTTCTCTCCAATATGGGTTCAACTCTCGTGAGCTCTGGCCAGGCTAACAAAGTAAAAAAATAAATTTGAAACATTTACCAAAAATAAAATATTTGCGTTGCTACCTGATTCAATAGACTTTTTTCTTTAGCCTCCTGTTCTTCTTTTTCCTTTCGCTTCTTCCTGGCATCATTGGAAAAAGTAGCGACACCAAAGTCCATGTTCATCCAGTCGTCCCTTTTTTGCTCTTCCACCTTCCCTCTCATGTCTCCTTCTTGTGAAGCTGGTGTTTTTTCCACCCATTCCTCTTCGCTTTCCGAACTCTAAATAGTTACATTTTTTGACCATTTTTTTATATAAATTGTAGAGTGGATTTTGTTTTTGTATAATTACTGAAGACGAAGTGTCCCTTTTTCTCTTCTTTTCCTTTTTGTGTTTCTTTTCTTTTTTCTTATGTTTTTTCGAATGACCCATTTATAAGAACAAAAATAAAAAGCTACCGAGTGATATTTTTTGTTATTCAACAACAAACAAACTGAACAACTTTGTATTGATATTCCGTGTTACCTTCCATCATAACAATTGTTGCAGTTGAAGTTACGTACTTCTGGCTGGAGCGCCACTGGATCATGATCAACTTCTAAATACTTGCTTTTATTTAATTTAATTATTCTTTCTATTATCAAACATTAACATCACTTTTGTAACATTTCTTATCTAAACAATATTGAATAAAGGTAAAATGCACGTGCATGCATAACATGGGTGAACATGTTATGTCCTGTTACCTTAAAATAAATACTGTTGGAATTATTAGAATGCTTAATCTTTTTATTTTACAATATTTGTTTAATTAATTTACATAAATTAATAATAATCAAAATTATTTAATAAAAACCATAAATTTCTGGTAATAATATCGATTATTGATACACATTTCTTGATAGGATAGTCAGAAAAGGTTACAAACTTACAAACAATCAGTCACGTGTGCATTGTGCATGTGCAGTGCTTATCTATAGTAGAAAATTACAGTACTTTAAATAAGGTAAATTTAGATGTATATTGTATTTATTTATATCTACACTCTACTGGTTTTTGTTGAATCTTATATACCTGATTACAATAATGTTACAACGTTGAATCAAAATGATACAAATACTTCTCTGCTTAAAATTCATATAATGTTCTTGGTTTTGTACATTTAATGTATTAATATTTTCAGAAGACATGGATGAGATATCTAAAGATAAACGATTCAGGCATGTTGCCACAGATCCGCGGTTTAAAAAAGTCCCAAGGAGTGAGTACAAGGTGAAAATAGACAAAAGGTTTCAGTCTATGTTTACAGATGAGAGATTCCAACTGAAGTACTCTGTCGATAAACGGGGACGGCCGGTGAATGAAACGCAAGCTGATAACTATAAAAAGTATTACGATTTAGCCGAAGAATCAGGGTCTGAAGGCGATGATAATGAAGAAAACGGTGATCAAGCTTCGGTTGAATCGTCTCAAGAAGAATCAGATGATTCTGTTACTAAGGGAGATGAAGAAGCGAACGATTCAGACAATCAACTCGAAAGTAACTCTGAAGTTAAGAACGATGATCAATCTGAAAAACCAGAATTGACGGCAAAAAGTAAACACAAAGAAGAGAAAAAGAGACTCCACAAACTTCTTGATGAGGAACACAAATCGAGGATGAACGATACGGTCAAAGAAAGGTTACAAGACATGACAGTCGATTATGCTAGGGGAATCGGGATGCTGCAGTCTGAAAGCTCATCTGATGAACCTTCGTCTGACGGTATGCATAATTGCTTTCCTAAATTGATAATCGATTACAATTTCAGTTTGTTATAGAATCGGAAAGTGAGTTCATCGAACATGCTTGGGGCGAACTCGATAAGGACGCTGAACAAACAGACGAGGTTACAAAAAGACTTGCAGCTTGCCATATGGATTGGGATAGAATCAAAGCAAAAGATATAATGATTTTGTTTCATTCTTTCTTACCGGCTGATGGGGTTATTGAATCTGTAACTGTAAGTATAATGGTCAAATTATATATATAGTTAATTAATTGTTTTGGTCTTAAGATCTATCCATCAGAATTTGGACTAGCTAGAATGAAAGAAGAAGAATTGGAAGGGCCTAAAGAATTAGTTAAGGACAATAAATTTGAAGAGTTTGAAGAAGACTTCGATGAAAAGGTAAATTGTAACTAAAATATTAAAAAGTAAGATTTCTTCATGTGGCCTACAGGGTGACGAACCTGTAATTTGGTCGTGATGAACGCTGATCATTTTGGGCTGCCTATCCTTTCTAGTATGGTCTGTCACTGCATTGTGCCAACTTCTGTATTGGGTCTAAAGGTGACCAAAATGATCAGCAATGACTAAACTAAAAGAGAAAAGATTTATTCATTCTAATTGTAAATCGATTAATCTTATAATTTTTCAGCATTCTGAAGGGAGAACTTATCACAGGGAGAGGCTTAGGGAATATCAGCTCAAAAGGCTCAAGTACTACTATGCAGTGATAGTGTGCAATACTCCAGAAACTGCCAACAAACTCTACAAAGAGTGCGACGGCATGGAATATGAAAGCAGCGCAACCAAAATTGATTTGCGCTTTATCCCAGATGATATGACTTTTGATCAGGTAATTTTATACTTTCATTAACATTAATTATATTTAATGTCCTCGTAATTGTGTGTGAAGGAGCCGAGAGAGGTTTGCCAGCAGCTTCCAGACTTGATGAAGTACAAACCCAGACTTTTTGCAAACACTGCCCTACAACAAGGGAAAGTCGGTTTGACGTGGGATGAAACGGATCCAGACAGAATAGAGTTCAACAAGAAGGTCGTAAGTGGTGAATTAAAAGACGACGACTTGCAAGCCTACATTGCTGCATCTTCAGATAGTGATGATGGTCCGTATATTTTAATTTAAGTAATTCCAGAGCATTTTAAGATAGATTTATTGTTTTTAAAACAGGAGAACCAGAATTAGATCTAGAGGAGCAACATGACAAAGATACTCAAAATCTAGACCCGATATCAAAATACAAATCGCTTTTGGCTGACATCCAAAAAAAGGAAGATAAGAAAAATAATCGAGATGAAGAAATGGAAATTTCATGGGGAGCTGGAATGAGCAGCAAGGTGAAAATATCTGATAAAAAAGATGAAAATACTGATGATGAGGTGATTTTATTTTATTTTCTCTTGGTTGTGTAAATTAATATAATTTTTTCAACTTGACTTTTGAGGATTGCAGTGGCCAAGTGGTTAGGGCCCCAGATGCAAATTTGCCTCTGAGTTTGAATCCCAGCATAGCCATAGAATTTTAATTGTGAATTGTATGAAAAAAATATTCTAAAATGTTTTGACCCCCTCTTCTGTGATACCCAACATGTACTTGGACGTTAAACCCTCCCATTTGATAAGAATTACTTTTAAACTTAAATTTTTACAGGAATTTGGTTCATCTGATGACGAAATCATAAAACAAAAATCAATTAAAACAAAACAAAAGGGGAAGAAGAAACATATTGATGAAAATGAAGATGAAAATGATGAAAATAAGGTATGCATTACACTCATTTATAATTTTTTGAATTGAATTTATTAATTTCCTCCTCTATCTTTTAACAATATTGCCATTAGTTTTAATCTTTTACGACATTTAATCTTCACATGGACCAGGAAAACTTCTTCCGATACCTTCATATTAACTATGGGCAAGGACATTTTTTTAAATATAGCATTTATTTAATTTTTATTGAAGAAAATGACATTCAGATATAAATTTCTGTTCAATTATTGGAGAAAGAAATTCACTACTATCCAATATCATGCAATTAGACAGCAGGACTCTCAATGAATCTATATGGCATGGTTTAAAAATATCAAAAGTGGCGATATATGACTGCTAAGAAACATAATATTGCTGGACTTGCTAATTCGTACTCCTACCTCTTCCGGACGTTTTTTTTTCACTGTTCCACAATTTTTTCTTTTCTTTCTATACTGCCAAAAGTCAATGGAAATAGAAGTGTGATAGGATTACACTAGTTTGTGTCTTCAGTGATGCATGAAAATGTAAATTTTTCTTCCAAAAGAGGATCGAAAAGAGCTTCCTCTTCCTACTCCATTAAGGAAAAGTTTTTGAAAACAGCAGACCTGATTAATACCTTTTACTTGCCTCAATACTCTAATTAAAATATATTGTTAAGTATTGACATTTTTTTAGGCGGAACTTGAGTTGCTGCTAGCAGGTGATGAACCTGAAGAAATGGGAAAAGCACACTTCAATCTCAAAGATATTCAGAAAAAAGAGAGGATGGAAGGAAAGAAAAAGAAGTGGCAGAAAAAGCAAAACAAAGGAATGGAAGACGGGGAGGACAATTTCAAAGTGAGTATGATAAACGATCGTCTGGACTTTGTAATATATATATTATACTCTGTTATTATTTCTATTATTGCCAATGTTTAATATTTCAATGTTTTCTTTCCTGAAATTATTGTCATAAAATGGACTATTGCACATAAATAAATGGTTTCTGCTTTTTCAAGGTGGACCTTGCAGACAATAGATTTTCCGCTCTTTACACTTCGCATCATTTCAACATAGATCCGGCAGATCCTCATTTTAAGAAAACCAAAGGCATGACGGAATTTATTGCTGAGAAGCAAAAGAGGAGAAAACTCAACCCTTCAGATGTATGTATTGTTTATACTCATGACGGTATAAGAATATAAAATTTATCGTGTTTTTTAGGTTCAAACTGTTAAGGATAATAGTGACGAACAGCTGAACCCCGAATTGTCAAGTTTGATAAAATCCATCAAACAAAAAAGTAAACCAATTGGATGAAGTTGTTACTTTAAAATACTGTAAATATTACATTGTAAATAGCATTTTAAACTTAATACATATTTTACATACATTAATTTTGTTTGAATAAATGCCCTATTACCCTTATAGAAACAAAAATTAACCAAATCTTTGATGAAAACTTTTTATTAATATACAGACGTATATATAATTATTATTTACACATAACGTTGTTACATATAAATATCTTCAATATGCACACAATTTTTTTTTGTTTTTACCAAAAAAAAAAAATTCATTATTCATTTACTTATCCCATATGTACATTTCAACAAAATTACACGATAATTTCATTGGGACAAATCTTTTTAAGGTTACAAACTTTAGCAGAACAATCACATCTGGGTTGTCTGTCATCATGTAAAGGATGTATTTGTATTGTAGTATCACAGAAACAATTAATTTTTTGTTCTATATTGTAAATAAAATAAAATTTTGAGTTAAAAATTTAATAATGAATGTATCGAAATGTACATTTTTGTTTCATTAATGCACTTGATTTTCTATTAAAAGCACTTACAATTATATCCGAATTTTGTGTAAAAATTTAGGCGATACATTTTCCTTATGAAATGGCAATTTTTTTCAGTCTATCCACTGAATTTTAAAAAAATTTAAAACTGAAAACTGATTTCATTTATTTTGTTAACTTAAAAGATTTGCTGAGAGAAAAACTAGATATATACAAATTTAATAGAACATCAAACATTACACAGATGGTTTGTTATTCTTGTTATTTCAGTGGTGCAGGTGGTTCAGTTACCCGGTGTTAAAATGTAAGTTCAATTCAAAAATAACATTGGAAAAAAATAAACTTGCACAATAAATAAGAGGTATAATAAATATCTCGCTTGTTCCGATCTATATGAGTTTCATAGACACTTTTTTTTTTCTTTTTGTAATTTTTTTACTTTATTTCTGGTTTATTGGCACATAAACTGTGTTTTCATCTGAGCCAGAGTTTTAATCTTAGAGCGTCGACACCGTTTAAATAATAACGAAACAGTCTTTTATCCCTCACAAAACCGAGATTTTCATAGAGCCTCAAGGCCGGTTTATTTGTGATCTCTGTCTCTAGAACAACCTGAAACAAAATATAAACATTTTATAAATTTGAAAACAGCTTAGGACAAGCGAATTTACCTCATCTGCTCCGTCGGCGACCATTGCACGAATTGCTTTTAACACAAGATTAGAACCTGAAAGCAAAAAAATACAAATGATAAACACTGCCTGCTTTAAAAAAAAATAATAATAATAACGAACAAACCTATTTTTCGTTTCCTATATTTTTCATCTACAGCAAGCATAGCAATGTACCCTCTTTTGTATACTTTCCTATGTACATCCAATTTACACACAATGGCTCCAACACATGTATCTTTATCCATTGCCTAAAAACAATTCAATTATTTTTATAAAAGTACAATTAAGTTTTGGTCTAGTTTATCTGCCTGTATACAGGTTAAATTAGGTTATTGCATTTTTATTTTAAAACAGCAGAGGCCACAACCCGCAGAGTGCTGGTGGTGTTTGATAAAAAGTTTATTTGGTTTGAATCTCAGCAGCTTAAAATACAATTCTTTCCACCACTCTGACCTAAACAGGCCTACTGTGGAACCCCTACTGCTTATAGCCATAAATAGGAAAGCGCGCTATTCCTTATAAAACTGAGCATTTTCCTTGGTGCCTCTTCTACTTCTGGGTATGAGATATGTCTTACCAAAGTGGGTGTACCATAAACAAGCTAATGCTTTAAATTCTGGTTCCTCCTGACATCGGTATGTTCTGTCTCTACTTTGCCCTTCTTATTTAAGTGGTAGTTAAGAGGGCAGTGGCTGGTATAGAAGCCTGTAATTCTCCTCAAATCCTGTCTGATGAGAGTTCTTTCACTTTCACTTTTGAAATATTTTTTAATCTCTTAGCTTGCCTCATACCTGAAGCGTTTGTCCAGTGTTTGATTTTTCTTTCTCAATCAATTTTTCCGGCCTTCCAACTTAAGCAAACACTCTGGAGTACTTAGTTGTGGCTCTTGTTCCATGGATGAGAGGGTTGCGCCGTATTTGACTAGTTGTTCAGCCTGTTCATTTCTTTCTTTGCCTTCATGTCCGGGAATACACTTAAGGTAAACTTGTATTACTTTCCCAGAGTCATTAGGCAATTTAGGCATTCACCAAGCACTCCATAAAAAGAGCTTTGCATTTGTGGACCTTTGAAACTGTTCCTCATCCGCACGGTTCCTGAGCCACCACTACAACCATACTCTCAATTTTGTATTAAGGGATAAAGCCAGAACTTCTTTTTTTTCTGCTGACTTAAATATACACAAGAAAAAATATAATTTGAATTTCAATATGCTTGAACAAAACCTCAAAATGTGGATGTTGGCTTATGAATTTCACAGAAAATATATGGTATATGAAACAGTATGTTGGTTCTGTCGTATTCAAACCAGGGACCTTTCTAGCTGTTGTTTGTCAGTCAGTCACAGAACTGTTTTATATATATATAGATAAGAGGGATGGAATTTTAAAAAAAAAAAAAAAAAAAAAAAAAAAAAAAAAAAAAAAAAAAAAATCATAGCGGCTATCCATGTCGTAGGAATGCACTGTTGAAATTTCAGTCCTTCCGATCCAGGGGTTTGGTCTGTGCGTTGTCAGCCAGCCACATAACTGTTTTATATAAATAGATTGGGATGGAATTTAAAAAAATCCTTTCTTAGCACCTATCCATGTCACTATAGGAATGCACTGTTGAAATTTCAGCCCATTAAAAATCCAGCAGTTTGGTTCGTGCGCTCTCAGCCAGTCAACCACGGAACTGTTTTATATATATAGATAAGGATGAAATTTCAAAAAAATCTTTTATTAGCGGCTATCCATGTCATTAAGGAATGCACTGTTGAAATTTCAGTCCTTCAGATCCAGCGAATAAGTCTGTGCGTTGTCAGCCAATCACGGAACTGTTTTATATACATAGATTGGGATGGAATTTCAAAAAATCTTTTCTTACTGGCTAACCATGACATTGTAGGAATGCACTGGTTTGATCTGTGAGTTGTCTGTCAGTCAACCACATAACTGTTATGTATATCGATATGTAAAAAATGTAGAACGCACTGATTTTTTGTTTGTTTGCTACAGAATGTATATGGAAAGATTGTACTCGAGAGTTTCATGTAAAAGATGGTGTTTTTCAGCAGATTTGTACTAAATATCTTCACTCATGTTACAACTGAAAAGAACGTATTTATTGAAAAGTGTTAATACTTACTAGAAAACACAACTGGGGCCAATTGTGAATAAAATATCGGTATGTGTAAATAGAGTAAGGCTCTGACAAATCTCTCTGTATGAGTCTCATGATATCCGGCATTTGAAGTTCAGACTGGTACGAGACGTACTCGACTTCGGGCTGTGCCGTTTGGTCCTGGTCTTGCTGTTGCTGACTTGAAGAAGGCTCTTCTCTCGTGTCGTCTTCCGTCTCTTCATCGTTGACACCGTTGTCTACAATAAATTCATTTCCACCTCCGATGTCATTTAATGACGGATTAGATTTGTTATTTTCACTAGACACAAGAGTCGATTCTTTTAAAGATTCACTAGCGTTCACACAAGTTTGACAATGACTAGAAACTAAATCCTTCAAATCTTTTAAACTAATTTTTTTCTCGAGTGTACAACATTTAATGTTTTCTCCACGTCCGTTTTCGCATTCGACGCCGTTCAATATGATATTGGGGCCGTTCAGGCTGATGGTGTCGCAGCCGAGCAGTTCGGGACGTTCGTACAGCAAATTGTCTTTGATCGTCGTCAAATTGCAGTTGGTATCCTCTTCGATCTCCTTTCCCTTATCTTGCACGCACGTTTTGGACGTATCGACGTTCACTATTTTCGTTTGATTTTCGATTTTTTTCCCTTGTCCTTTTTCCATAGTACGGCACTAAAACGACACATAAACACCAAACCCGGGCCTGGACTTTTATCTCCGAACGGAACAACGATCTCCCTCAATTTTTACAATATTTACATCTTTTAAAACTCTTCACCTATTAAATTGTGATTGAACATTAACTTCAGACTCCTCAAAGCCATATTGGATTTGGAGTTTTTTCTCGTCGCTGCTAACCCAATCGGACGAACTGATATCGAGCCGCTTTCAAAACTTCGTCACTGAAGTTCAAACTCCTTCTTCACACGCTTGTCATCCTCTCAAGAGGTGACTCTTCTCGACCAAAAACTCTTCAAAGAGAAAAATGTCACTGGACACCTTGTCTTTTTTTAAAATTTCTTATCGTTCAAATAAAACCACATACTTATTACAAAAAAAAACTGCATTGACAAAATTAACGATTTTATGAAATATTTATGTAGTGTGCCGACCAACCAGTTGAGTATTTATTTAAAAATAGATATATATATATAAATTTGGATTTTTTTCACAAAGCAACATACATTGAAAGCCAGTGAATAAAAACTTAATACAAAAAATGGTCATCTATCATGTACGATCGGAATATTCAAACCATCTGCAAAAGGGGGTACACTTCAAGCTATGATGGAACAGAACATTGATGGATAGTAAAAGAGGATAGCCCTAGTACAGACCTGTGTGGTACTCCTTGTTCAATGATTTTATTTTTTCTTAAAGTGGTATCTTTATAAGATTAGAACTAATGTAAGGAGACCCCTCGATATAGAAATCATCTAGTTTTAGGACTAATATTTGATGATCTACTTTAACAAATACCTTGGTTATAACTTATATCACAAAATATGCTATCATCCTGGCATTATTAATGTCTTGATTTACCAGAAGCATGAAAAAAAAGTGAATTCTCAGTACTTTTTTCCTTATAATCCGAATTACTTACAATCAGCCAATTAATTAAGGTTTTAAGTTGAGATAAAAAAGTCAGTGTCACGAGCGGGAGTCGAACTCACGACCTTTGGCTTGATACACCGCTACTCCACCACTTGAGCTATCATGACTTCAAGCTCAAGTGGTAGAGTAGCGGCGTATCAAGCCAAAGGTTGTGGGTTTGAATCCCGCTCGTGACACTGACTTTTTTATCTCAACTTAAAACCTTAATTAATTGGTCAAACGGACCACGAAAAATAGTGAATTACTTACAATGTATACTATTTCTTAACAGAAAATTAATAAGCCTGTTTTTAATCAACTTTTCAAAGATTTTTGTGACTATAGACCAGAGGACATGACTCAAAATATATTTACCACTTACCATTTTAAAAATTTAGATGTAAAATATTGTTGTTTTAGCATATTGCTCTTTATCAATTTTTGTAAGAGTATTAAGATCATTGTCCCAAATGATAAAATGATGTCAGTATATATTTTCATGTAAATACAGTTTGTTTTTGGTGTGCTCTGCAACAGGCGTAATGTTAAAATCCCACTCTTACAAAATCCTGCAAATTTGGTCACGTTAAAACACTGTTACCTGTAAATTAAATTTTTTAATTACCAATTGATAAAATTATATAATAATTTCTTTTTTTTTTTTGTAAGTAATAACTAGTTATGTTAAACAATTAATTTCAACGGCAGTTTATTTTATTGAGAGTAGTCGTATAATCTTTTCCCAATACTGCCACAAGTTTTATCAATTGAAAATATTATTAATGAATTTTTTAGAGGATGTACAATAATTGTTAATATATAATTAAAATCAATAATCAAATACTACTTGCAAAATATAAAACTGATAAAATGTTTACATTTTTAAAAAATTTAAGTGTTATTGTATTATAATATACTAGAATTGACCAAAGATTGAACAGTCAATAACAATTTTATGGGTACAAAGAATTAATGTGATTATTAAACATTGTAAATATTTTGCTGGTAATCATCAGATAATTCCTCTGTAAAGTATTGTAATGACCAAAATGGACTTTCATGAAGGAGAACTCAATTTTAAACATTACTTAAAAATAGTGATTAATTCAAATGAGATAATCATACTGCCTATACAAAATAGTTATTTTGTAATGAAACATTTAATTTTGGATAAATTTTTTCAGTATTAACATTCCAATATTACCATTTTTAGATTTTTACGTTTTTATGGTGGTATTTATAAAGCACAAACTGACACAATTCAATGTCCAATTCCTTGTACACTGGAAGTATATCCTAAGGAGATACAAGAAGGAATAGATTTGTTAAAAGAGACTAAGAATTTGAAAGGGTCCAAAATAGATGCTAGCTAAAAGTGATTAAATTCTGCAAGTATATCGGTTTCAGTATAAGAAATAGGCTAAAAATCAGAGTGAGTTTATTTATATCAGAAAATGGAATATATTTACTTGTGCCTTGTGGAATCTCAATGTCCCAGAAGACATCTTCCACTTTCTATGAGTAGGCCCTATTTTGTGGGAAGCATGCCTTGAAAAGCAGGAACAGGGTAAAGAAAAACTAATGAACCTCCTTAACAGTGAAGCTAACAGGATTTCTGTTGTGCAATGCCTCAGTCAAGTCAAGAAAAATAGCATTGTGTTACTGTAAATTAATTTTTTTTTACATTATAAATTTCATTTGATAATTGTGCAAAATTTTAACAATTTAAGTATTGACTAGTCATTAATTAATTTATATTACACTTATCCTAGAAGCAGAACCAATTGTCAGATATACAGGACAATGATTTACAAAGTGCAATGATAGTTAAATTATTACTTACTTATTTCCATTATTGTTTCCTTAACTTTGTTTTGACTTTTTTATTTCTTTTTGATGTTTTTTTATTTTTTTAATTTTGAAATTTTGAAGAAGTTCTGAAAATCTGTGAAATATTGGGTTGAATTGGAATTTGTGAAATAAACCGACCGAGATCTAGAGAAAAAAAGATGTTGAGAAAAACTACAGGTCAAAAAATACTAGAATGAGTCATGTATTAAAAATGTTTAATTGTGAAAACTGCGCTGAAATAAATGGACATAATTTCATTGAGAACATTTTTTTAAATACTAAACTGTAACAAAACAATTATCATTGAGATAATAAACGATAAATGTGTTAAATTTTGTTCACTAATCACAAAAAATTACTTACATTCTTTCTATTTTACTATTTGGGCTAGTCGGAGGGATGAGGCCTGATTGTTCTTAGGACTACAGATGTTTTGTACATTCAGAGGCAGGATAACTTGCTGAGTTAAAATATGAATGTTAGATTAATTGAGTGGAATCAATCGCACAAGAGGTGGGCTTCAATTTTGAAAAATTATAATACCAACCTACAAACAATTTTTTTAAATACATGAAGTATAATTCACATGCTTAGAAAAAGATATAAAATATAATTAATTATCACTTACTATTTTGACTTCCTAAATTCACTTCTAAACAATCCTAAAATGTTAAAATTTTGCCCACCTTTTCTATTTGTTAGCCCCTAATTTCAGCAAATTTAAACTTTTATCTGAAAACAATCTCTTTTATTCCAGTTGGCATGTTATGTATCATACATACATTAAAAAATGCAAGGTTAAAAATTATATATACATAAGTAGTAATTAAAAATAAGAATAGGAGTTATTAATTAAATGTAAATGTCTGTTTTCTCACTTTATACTAAATGGCTATGGATGTCTTTACGATCATGTCCTTGTGCTACTAGAAACTCAACTTCCTCACTCCAAGTGCGATCAATTCCTCTCTCCTCGTCTAACTTCTTCCTTAAGCGGTACTCAGCAATTTCTCTTCGCCACTGAATGTACTTATACAATCTGTAGCCCGAGTAGGCAATCAAGCCGGTACCTCCAACTAGCCCTGCCAGTTTGAGTATGGTGGTTCTATCCAACATTTTCAATAAGTTGACACACTTTTATATTTTAAATATCATCACCATGGTGAAGTTTGATCTCAAATTTATATTAAAATATAACAGATGGTAATTTATGAAGCAATTAGTTCTTCCAAACTCGGTTGATATGTTGTCAGACATGTCAATTAATACAAAATCTTGAAAAGAAGGAAACTGCAGCCTAGATGGAGCATTTAATTTAAGATTGTACATTGTACAATGAAATGGAACACATCTTCTCTGAACCCAATTACATTAAGTGCAATTATTGCCTTTAATTTATATTGAAATGTATTAAAATTTATATGAAAATCCCACCTCTGTGTGATTGATTCCACTTAATTCATCTAATATTCATATTTTAACCCAGCAAGTTATCCCACCTCTGAATGTACAGAACGTATGTAGTCCTAAGAACGATCATCCCTCCAACTAGCCCAAAGCGTAAAATAGGAAGAATGTAAGTAATGTTTTGGGATTAGTGAACAAAATGTATCACATTTATTGTTTATTATCTCAAACGTTTGCAAAAATGATAATTGTTTTGTTATAGTTTAGTATTCAAATAAGATAATTCAAAAAAGAATTTTCTCAATGAAATTCTGTCCATTTATTTCAGCACAGTTTTCTCAATTAAACATGTTTAATACATGGCCTTTTCATTCTAGTATCTTCTTTTGACCTATATTTCACAACACCTTTTTTTCCCTAGATTTTGGTCGGTTTATTGCTTAAATTCCATTTCAACCCAAGATTTCACAGACTTTCAGAACTTCTTCAAAATTTCAAAATTAATGAAAGAAAAAAACATCAAAAAGAAAATGATTATTCGGAAATCGTGAGATGCGGTTTGGTGTGACGTAGGTTTCAGAAAAACATTTTCTTTATCGTGCCGACGTTTTGATCTTCACCTAATCACCACACATCAAAAAGAAATAAAAAGGCAGAACAAAAATAAGGAAACAATAATGGAAATAATTGTAAGTAATAATTTAACTATCATTACACTTTGTAAACCATTTTTCTGCATATCTGACAATTGGTTCTGCTTCTAGGATAAGTGTAATATAAATTAATTAACGACTAGTCATTACTGTGGTGATTAGTGACCGTTAATCGATAATTATTCAGAAATCGTGAGATGCAATCTGGTGTGACAGAAAACATTTTCTGAAACCTACATCACACCAGACCGCATCTCACGATTTCTGAATAATTAATATATTATACAATAGATGACCATCTGAACATGTTGATGAAGTAAGAAAACAATTGACATGGGGCTTGAGATTAATATAACAATAAAAATACATATATAAATATACTGAGGCAAAAAAAGTGGCCACCTCCTTTTTCCTCTTTAGTAAAAACTTGCAATCATTATAATTTTTATTTTTTGTTTATTTGATATTTTTAAAGAAAAATATGACATAGTAAAATGTTCTTTCGGAAACGATGAAGAAAATATTCAATTCAGTGTGGAGTATTTTCCCCTCTTGTGTTGAGCCTCACTTGGATTAGACTTTGTGCATTTTTATGAGGTTTTAAATGTAGTGCGTGGAATATTTTCATAATCCCCCAACACCGCCATTCTTAATTCCTGCAATTTCTCTGGCATCACAGGACGACTTTTTACCCACTGACAACTCATCCCAAAGGTATCCGATAGGGTCAGGACTACATGCTGGCCACTCCAATCATTAAACTGAAGCCTATTCCAAGTAGTCACCAACGATCAAACCTAGCTGTGTGGGGCCTTGCATTGATGTGCATAAATAAAATTGTTAATAATTCATGGCATATAAGGAACAACTTCTCATAATTCATCTTCAATGTATCACACAGCTCAAGAACCCTTGATGAAGATCAATTATGCGTGACCTACCATAGAAATGACTGCCCAAACCATAACACCTGCATAGCTTCATCAGAGTGAAAATTTTGCAGGAATGTACTGCTCTCCTTCAAACCCTCTCTTGGCCATCAGAAGACAACAAACAAAACTCATCTGAAAACAAGATTTAAGTCCGATCTTGCTCAGACCAATTGATAAGATTTCTTGAAGCTTAACCAAGCTGTTCTGTGCCTTGTTAGGTGTTCTGGACTAGTGGCAGGCATTCTTGTACCTAATCCAGCTTTTGAAAGTTGGTGCCTTACCATTAATATTTCTAGCTAGCTCAACAGTGGTAGAATGTCGATTACAGTGTACATTCAAAACAATAAAACAATCTCTAAGATGACAGGTGACAGAATGGCGACCTGTGACGTCCAGCGTCTTGATAGCGATGAGACTAAATTCAATACCCTTTGACTAGTTGTTCTAGGAATGTTAAGCACCCTGGCCACATACGCTCGACTTCTTCCGTCTTCCAATATATGATTCTAGCAATCTAGCTGAATCATTTAAAACAAACAGTCAAACAAATTTGAAACTTAAAATGATACAAATTAAAAAAATCAAACAGAACGTTAGAAAGAAGATTTACAGAAAAACCAACAAAGAAGATTGATTATTCATATTAATGATTTTTTATTAAAAAAAAATTTTAAAATTTTTTAAATTTTTATCCGTGTTATTTACCTCTAAACTTTAAAAAAAGGATTAAATATTATTGAGGGAAAATCAATAGAGGATTGTCTAAGAGATAATTAAAAATATTAGGGTTGGCCATTTTTTTTTTTTTTTTTTTGCCTTTCAGTAGTTAGAAATAAACAACAAAATACCAGTGTCCGGTTTTTTGGCCTTTGAGTGTTATTATAATTTTTATGAAAGTCGACATAATATAATTAATTGCGTATCTTTCTTGGACGCTCGAGAATCCCCTCCAAAAAGCTCAAGATAAGCAAAATTGTGAAGCCGGAAGGTAGCAGAAGCCAGAAGGTAGTAACTAGTAGTTGCCGAAAGCCGGTCCTGGTGCTCAGTGACTCAGTTGTCAGTACTCAATAGTCATTAGTGAATATCAGTCGAACTGAGTAGTCAGTTGTCATTGGTCAGACATTTTTAGTAATCGAGTTCTTTTTTTTTCGTATTCAAAATCTTTATGATTTGCCATATTATACAATCTTTCTTACTTGACTAAAAATAAATAAAACTAAGATTTTCACAATTTTCCGAACGTCACCGCCGACAAAAGACATCGTAACGAAATTGTCAAGACGTAAGTCCAACAAGTAGTCGAAGCGCAATGTTTTTGTTTTTTCAAATTTATCGCAAAATTCAATGATCTTTTAAAGCCTTATGTAAATAATTTTAATTTTGTAATGTAAATGTTGTTTGTGGAAGCTTTTCCTTGAAAGTTAGAACGCGATAAAGATATTTGCATGTTCATGCATGCCATTTTTTAAACACGTTCAACAATTATGTTAATGCATGTCATTAATAATGATTAATTAACTAATTTTCTATTTGAAAAAAACAACTTTTAATTTAAAATGTAGTCAACAATTGGCTTAGATTCATTTTATGGTCTTAGTCGATGTTTTAATTAACAACATACTCAATATTCTTTAAATGGAAAAGAGTGTTCATTTGGATTATCTCGACAAAATTTGAAATAATAAAATATTTTAATTAGTTATTGTATTTTAATGTAAAGGTTGGTTGTATTTGTGTAAAACATTAACTTTAGGCCTAGGCCTTCAGAAAAGTAAAATGGGTGTTATCCATTTGTGTACACAAAATAGTTTCAGGGTATAGTATACTGCGCCCTTTAAGAGCTATTGTATCCACACAAAATAGTTATTTTGAATAAATTTTGAAAATTTTACAGCATTTAGCCTAAACATTATATAAATCAAAATAATGTGTGGCACTCTCAACATGACCCACAAGAATGGCACAATTGTGCAGAAAACAAACACTTTGAGCCTTGAAGATGATCTCAATAAAGGTCGAAACGTTGGCACAAAAAAGATGTTTTTCTAAAACCTACGTCACACCAGATTAACATGATTAATAGTAATTATAATATTAAATTAAATAATTCTGTGACTAGGTTAAATTTGTATTTGAGACTTGGATTTATATAAGCTCAAATCTGTACATGTACATACGTATATATACATGTACAGAGTTGAGCCTATAACTTCTTGCAGTCCACCAACAAGTCCAGCTTTAATTTGCAATAAATTACCAGCAGGCCTCTGGCCTCGTCTTATCTGTCCAGCACCAAAGTTGGGCTAGGCCAATTCAATAACCAATGCATGCAGTTCCTAGATCCAAAGACATTCTCACTCATTCTTAAATACATTCTTTCCTATTGATATAACATTCAGCTAATTAGGGTGGTGGAGTACTCAATATTCCTCTATCACCCTCTACACGTATTAAATTACTAACCTAATTGAGATTCGATGGGTACTCAATATTCTCTCGACCCTCTCACACTACACATTCATGCTAATAAATACATTCACTCTTAACACACACTAGGGACACAAAACTATTATTTATATATACAATAGAACAATCCTGTTTCCTCCAGGAATCGAGATAGGGGACCCAGATATTCACTGCCGTGTTACAGCATGATTGTAATATCGGGTGGCATTCTATGCGCTCTCTATATGGAGCCAAGCAGCCTTCAATTAGGTGGGACACATTGAGTGATCTTTCTCTGCGTACTGGAGATGTACATGGGCTTTGGCCCAAAAGTAAGTGTCTGCGTTTCAACCTCGCATGGCCTATTCTTAATCGGGAGAGGATAACCCACTGCACACTAATTGTTAACTTTAGTGTACTTGCTAATATGTACAATGCCTCCCTCCTCAAGAGAAAGCATCCCTGGGGTCTTGTAAACCCCTTGCATCATTTTTACTGTGAGCCAATGTATGTGTTTAACCAAAATTCATAGTTAAATAATGACATTTACATTAAAAATTAGGTAAAACTTTTCTGGGCTAGATAACACAAAAATCATTGCTCTTATCTAGTTACAAAGGCAGATATTTCATGTCACGTCATTGTTCACCCTGAGAAATTTTTTACTGTGAATAAACTTGCCAATGGAAAGCATTTTTATTTTTTTTATTTATTACTTTAAGGTACATAAAAGGACATTAATACAACTATCTCCTTTAGTAGAAAATAATATTTGAAAATTGCAATGTCCACTTTTATAAGTGAAGATATGTCCAATTTTGTAAATTATAATGGGAACAAAAAGTTTTTTAAATTGAAATCAATTTATTTTTTATTTATATTTATTACTATAAAAATTGCACTTAATAATAAAAATTTTAACTTTAAAAAAGTTAAAAGTAAAAAATATAATTATTTGTTGGATACATTAGGAGCAGTCAAGAAAGAGCAATTTTTGAAAAACACCTTTTTAATTTTTTAAACTTCATTTCGACCTTTATTCGGGTCTTCATTATAGCCTGGGTGAATTATAAAACGTACGTTGATCGTTAAAATAGATACAGATGTAAATATGAACTTTGAACCAAATATTTCATACCTACATAAAGTGTAGTGCTATTCTTGTGGTGTCATATTGGTGTTGTGTGAAATTGATGTGTATTTTGCTCTTTTTATGTAATTGTTACAGGGTGGGGGACATGGTAAATTTCAAAAAATTATTAACCGCCCACGAATAATTCTACTCTTGTAAATGCTATTTTTAAATTAGTTTTGTTATAATTAAATTATACCATTCAGTTCACTTCCCCATAGAATATTTTAAAAACCTGCTAGCTAACTAAATTGGTCTAAAAAATGGAAATGTCCATATTTGTAACTAGGCTTCTCAAATATAGTTAATTGTGCCTGGTGGACCAAGAAAATTAAAGAGGATCAAACTACAGATTGATCAGCTCACATACCTCATTTTTTCTCCCCAACATTTCATTATTCCTCCAATATTTCATTTTATAATTCTGTTTCAGGTATGAGAAACCTGTAAGAATGGAAAGCAACACGAAAGATTGTTGCAATGATAAACAACCAACCGTCAAAGTTATTCTTGTCGGCCAAAAAATTAAATTGCTGATCAATGGTGAAGAAGTCGACCTAGATGGTGTCAGTTTGTTTGCTAATAGTAAAACCACTCAAAATAGTGATGCAGGCCCTTGTGAAAACATTTCAGACAAAGATAAACAGTGTGACATTTCAAATGACAGTATTTTACAAAATGGTACAGAAAATATACCAAAGGAATTTGAAAAGGATGCTAATATATTAACAGAATCTTCTGTTGAAAGCCTACCTTTGGCTGAAGATAAACATTTAAAAGAAAACACAAATAGTGATACAGAACAGAAACGTTTAATTACAGAAGAAAGTTATAAAAACTTTTGCAAAGATATTATTAATAACAATACCATATATAAAACTGAAGTCACTGATAAAATAGAGATTAGGAATGAAGAAACATGCGACAAATCATGTCACAAAGGTTTTACGGTTAGCGCAGAAGTAAAAAAGTGCAATATTTCAGAAATTGTAGACAAAGACACTGATCATCCTTGTGATAATCAAGAACAGAAGAAAAACAAAAACAAGAAAAAGAAGAGTGCTGAAAAAATTCCAAAAGACGGCAAAGTCGTCAAACCTCCTGGACAGCCCAGGACAATCAAAACTCCAAAATATCTTGAAAATTTGTTCTGCAAATTAACTGTCGAAAGAAAAGCGATTGCGAAGGGTGAGAACATGGCGAAACAAAATTGTGACAGAGTTACAAATAACAGAAAGACTAGAGAAACTATTCAGCAGAACCAGAAAATTTCAGATGTTTCTAAAAACGACCTAAACACTTTAGATGACTTGAAACCAATAACATTTACAAGTAGCGATGATCACAATTCAATTGCTGCTAAATTATGTGAAAGTTTACAGGAGGAAAATCAAGATTGGATAAGTAAATATAAATTTTAAATAATTAAACAGTAATAAACTAAGCATGTATTGTTTTATTACTTTGTGTGCTGGAATATATATGTAATAAAATCATTTCAGAAAACTTGCTTATATACTTGGGAACCGAGAAAGTCATGGAGTTGTTTGAAAAGACTAGAGAAAAAGAAAGAAATGGAGGAATACTTGTGAAAGTAATTTTTTATTTGATAAAAAATAAAAACCTCTATAGAGATAGGGTAGTTTCATTTATCTATCTTGTATTTTTGTAAGTAAAGAATTTTAATAAAACAAGTTGCAGAAAATATAAGATTGACAAATCAAACCCCTCTACATCTCTAAAACAAGTGTAACAATGAGAAAAAACAAAATATAAAAAACTTTTAAAAAAGTTTTAGCTTTTAAAATTAACACATTCCTAGGATGGTTCCAGAAGGAAAACTCCAGGGGGTGTATTCATATCGCTTTTACAAGAAGACAAGTCCGTTACAAATGAAGTGTATAAAAAGATTTTTGAAGAGACCTTGATAAAAACTAAACGTCTGAGATGTATAGAGAGGAAAAGAAAGCTGTTGAAACAAAATGAAGTATTAAAGGAACAATTGCTGAAAGGTAAGTCATGTTGATCGTTTGTTAACTGATTAAATAATTTTTTTTATTGAATTTACAGAAGGTTTTCTTTAAACTGAAAATACTTGAAATGTGTTATCAAAATGTGATATTTATGTTGGATGTAATCCGCTCAGCAAGTGTAGTTCGAAGAAACTACTTCATGTGTTTACCGTTATTATTTTATAATATTTATAACTTTAACTTGCAAACATTGTTTTGTCAAATATTTGCTTTTAAAAATTAAAGTTCCTTTTTGCTATTTGTAACATTTATTTAAACTTTTGTGAAAAATGTAAAAAAAAAGTACTTTTACATAAACATTGTTTCTATGTAAATAAAATCATTAATAGACAATAAAACATTAAAAATTATTAATTCCCCATAACATATATAATTATATATTGGCATGAAAACCAATTAATTGCAGATTTTACTATTTATTTATTGACAGGTATACATCAGATACTCCATTCCTAGAGTTTATATCAAATTTACCGGCTTTCGCCTTGTCTTTACGAATGGGTCTAAAACTGGTGAGGGGTTGGCATGCACCTTGTATGACGGGTTATTCATATTAATCCCGCGGTACTGCAGCATGTACAGCGGAACTGTGTGCAATCTGGCTCATGCGATTCTAGATGATGGAGGTCCTGCCAATTGCATTGGCAATCCAGGACAGATTCCCGGTGGGCCTTCTTGTCATACTGTTGTTGGAGAGATCGTGAATCGTGGAAAAATAATGGCTATTTATATAGAAATGGGTTTGAGGGCAATGAATGTGCAATACCACGAAAGCTGAGACGTTTTGACAGACTATCACGATATGGCCTGGTGACAGCAGTAAAAACTGAAGTAAGGCTATGTCGATAGTAACAGCAGTATTTATTAACGTGGATATGTAGTGTGAGAAGCTAAATGGCAGAATATTGAGTATCCCTTTGACCACCCAGTTATGTTAGTTATGGTATAGGTGTAAAAGGTAATGTAGGAAAGAATGTATGTAAGAATGAATGAAAGAGTGAATTGGTTTGGTTCTAGGAACTAATTGTGGTAAAATGACCTAGCTGTTGACAGCATCCAAAGCCTAATATCAGTGGCTGGACGGATAAGACCAAAGTCCCTTGACCACCAACACCCAAGATGGTGATGCTTGAGGCCGGTCAGTAATTCATCGTAAAGTACAACAGCTGAAATTTTAGATTTGAGCTTATATAAATCAGCGATTAGTGGGTAGCAGATAAATAGTTGCACTTTCAATTGCGTTTGGTTAAAGTTTAAAAAAGTATTTTCCCACTTAAAAAGTTACCAAACCAAAGTGACCCTAATCAGGTTTGATTGCAACTGGTTTACATTAATCAATCTCACCGATGTTTGGTATAATGAAGCAAAAGTTAATTTCTAATATTAATATTATTGTTTTATATTCTTCGAAATTGTGTTTGAATACTGTGAGACGAGAAATTGTGGTTTATAACCACGTGGATTGTTCCAAGAACCTTAGGTAGGTTACATTATTATTACTGAATGTTGATGTACTATTGATATGTCTGATTTTATGACTGATCATTAGGAAAAAGACTCATTTTTATTATTATTGTGAAGCTATGAAATATTGAGATTTGAATAATAATAATTGAATAATTATGGCGGTGCCTCCTACAGAGATCAACCCTGAGCAGATAAAAACGGTAAAATCCCTCTAACATGTTTTCTGTTTTATTTTGTATGTATTTGTTTTCTGTATTAAAATAAAATTGATCGTGTTTTTACAGTTCAAAGAATTTTTATCCTCATACAACAAACTGTCGGAGATTTGCTTTTTGGACTGCGTCAATGATTTTACATCACGGACCATCAAACCGTATGAGGTGCATATTTGATTTGTTATAAAAGTCTGTGTGTTATCTTGTATAGCTTGAATTAAATTTGCAGGTGTAGTTTTGATAAATGAATTTTTTTATTCAGGTAATTATCATTTTTTGGCTGTTCGGTCGCTTTCAATCATACTATTCTGGCTGGTTCAATCTGCCAGATATGTTTTGTGTCTACAAATCTACTTGTGAAGTAAGCAAATTGCTGAAACATCCCTTATAAATAAAATCAACAAGGATGCGCTGACCAGGCGTTCATATTCTCAACAAAATACATTACATACAAAATACATTTGTAAATGTCCTTTGATATTAACATTTTTTTCTTTTCTTTATTTATTTTGTATGTGTAAAAACTTCAAAATTATGGTTTAAGGTGGTGTTCCCAAACTTTTTCTGTTTCCGTTACTCTTACTATATTAGAATATTTCCACAAGTCAAAACAATGTTCTGTGTCAGCGTGAATTTCATAATAATAGCATTATTTCATTTCCAATCCAGAAAAGCATTGATATATAGCTCTTATTTTGTCGGCAATTTAATTTAATAAATAATCAAAACTCCCGCCTTCCTGTGAAAATGAAAAATGATTACGGATGTATAGCAAAAATATAAAAGGGAATACTTTTGTTGGGCAATAATATAATACACAATTGCACCTGTATCGGTTACATCCATATTGAGTTGGATGGCCACCAGGGTCTTAGTTTTTAGGGTTTTATAAAGCGGAGTTCACTTTTTAGGTTTTTTATAAATATAAAAATAATAATAAAAAAAATTGGAGTCGGAGCTTTATAGCACTCAGAAGGGATATAGCTAAACTAAGATAGAAGGTTTGGGATGTTAGGGCGTGAAATGATCTTAGCCGTTAAAGTGCCCTTAAAAATTAATAATAAAAAAAAATTATAGAAAATTTTTGCAGTGCCCTTACAACACTACTGTGGCATGCCATATCAACCAGTTCTGCCCAAACACCCAAAGAAGTTGACTTGAGTCTAACATTGGTTCTCTTGATACCGATTTTTAACATATCTTCTGAAATTTCAGGCACTGTGAACCTTTGGGTATTGCAATGTTTCCCAAAAGCTGGAGAAGCATCCGTCACAACTTACAGCTTTTGAAGGTCTTTTGTTGGTTTGAAATGTGTACATGTGAAAAACCTTACTTTGGTTTCATCAGAAAACTTGGGTCTGTTAACTGTTACATCAAGAAGAAATTAGCTATCCCTGTGCTCAAGAATATCTAATCTTTACCAAAAAATTATTTATGAATAAATTATTATTCATATATAATTATTTATGAATAATAAAAAATTGTTTATGAAAACCTCCCATATTTAGGTTTGATGAAATAATTAACTTGGTTCGTGACGATGATGACAGACACAAAAAGCTTGGCAATATTAGAGACCTGAAAAATAATTGTTTCATGATTTCTAGGCTGAACTAATTGGGACCAAGACATGTTCATAATAAGAAATAAAACTATATATAAAGACTCCTTAGCACTGCCAGTTAGTGCACTTCTTGACCTTAGCTAATGCCACTCATATAAAGAAAACTATAAGCACGATTATCGTAAATAGCTCCAATTCCTTCGTCTAGCATTTTAACCTGACCTTGCTCCTTAAGATTACTTAAGGTCAGAGAAGGGTAGACTGACATAACAGGAAACTTAACTATCTATATTTCATAGAATACCTTCATCTCTATTCAGTAATAAATAAGCACATGTAGAAAACGCACAGATGTTTTATTTTCCCAGTAGTAAACAACAAAATAACCACTTCATTTTTTTTTTTTTAAGGATAAGTGCTCGACGAATTGCACTGAAAAATATCTGAAAATGAATCAGAGGATATCCCAGAGATTCCAGGAGTTCCAGATTATATCTAACGATAATCTAGCAGCAGCTCAGAAGTTAGGGAACAAATAAGCACTAACTTAGGGGTTTAGTCACTAGAATTATCCATTTCAATGTATATCACAAGTTTTGTTTATTAAATGTAAAAAACCTTAATAAAGTTTGAATAAAAAGAACAAAGAATTTCTTAAAACTTTAATAGTCCTTATTTTTTAGTACAACAGTTTGCTTTTATACACTTTTAAATTTATTTACAATTGTATAAATATAACTATGTATGTCATTTACAACATGAATTCTCTTTTGGTTTATCGCTCTGTAGTAAGTCAATGCAGTTGGTTTCAGATGTTTCTGATTTTTCGATCCATGTGTTTAACACTTCCTCTATTAAATAGTTCATTGCCTTATCTAAAAGTCAAAAGTTTATCTTTAAAAAAAAGTTACAGTTTTATATGTCTAAAGTTAATTAGATGTGTGCATAATATTATTGTTCACCAACACCACTTTTAGTAGTAACAAATAACTAATAAAAACTTTAGTAAATTTAAAAAAAAAGTTACCGATATTTAAATTTTCTTTGGCAGAAATTTTGAACCAAGTCGAGAGACCAACTTCTCTACACAGCTTGTTGATGGCCTCGTCACAGGCACAGCATTCACCAATGTCCCATTTGTTTGCTAACAGTATAACTGGAATGTCCCTGCCATCATCAAAGACAACTTTTTTTCTCAAGTCCTTCAGCCACTTTTATACAGAAAAACAAATTAACAAAGCAATCTTGCTTTATCATTATTGAAGGAGTTTGTTACCTTTACAACTGAGTTATATGAAGAGAGCCTCGATATGTCAAAAACGATTGCACAGCCGACTCTGGTTATAAACATCTTTAAAAGTATTTACATTTTTGGAAAATAAAATTTTCAATAAAATTATAGGCTTACGCATTTTTATAATAGACTCTTGTCATGTAACCAAATCTTTCTTGCCCCGCAATATCCCTAAACGTATAAAAATTTGTTGTAAAATAAAAAAAGTGACTACAATCTTATAATATAAAATGTGCCTTTTTAATTTACAAAAACATATATAAAAGTTAATTAACAATGTTCTGAGTTGGAAATTAAATAAAAAATTATTAAATTAAATAAGAAATTATTCCTACCACAGCTGTATGTTCACAATGGTATTTGCGTCCCAGCGTATCACCTTCATAGAAAACTCAGCACCCACAGTTAATTTGTAATTAGATGAAAATTTCCCTGCAGTATGCAAGCGAAAATATGAAAACAAGACATTACATAACATATTGAATATACTTACCATCAGTGTATCTTCTAGCTATGGCAGTTTTTCCTATGAAAATAGAATTATGGAGTTACAATTTTCTAACTCAATGTACATTAAATGATGCGTACCGACGCCGTAATCACCAATTAGTAAAAATTTTAAAATTAAATTTTTTTGCTCCAGTCTATGTAAGTTGTTGCCTCTTTTTGATTCCATATTGAAAATAAACACAAACGCATCCCTAACAAATGACCTTTTAGCTTGCTTTAGATAAAGATATCAGCCCAGTATCAGATTCTTACTCTATTTTGTTTGTATCAGTAATTTTTCTTGATAATGCAACCTGTTTTTTTTTTTTTTTTTTTTTTTTAACATTTATTAACTTCTGTTGTATAGTTTGTATGTACATATATGATTTATTTAAGAATATTTGATAAAATTAGATCATAAATCTAGATAGCTTGTAGAATTTGGGGTTTTTTATTTTGTCCCTTTTCAATTAAAATTTAATTTTATTATTTTAAAATTTTATAATGCTTTATCAAGGGTCACATATTTTATAATAAGCATATAATGAATATAATTAATTATAATACTACATTGTTTAGTACAGTTTATTACAAATTTATACATTAAAATAGAAAGTAAATCAATATAATTTAAATAAAACAAAGAAAAATTATATTTTTACATACATAAATACATATTTTATTGGAACGTAATTTTGTAAAGAAACAAACAAGATATGAAAGATGGGCTCATATCATGTTATGTTTTGTCTCAAGAAATTTGTTAAATATATAAAAGGCTCCAGTTGTCAAATAAACCTTAATCTTCCTCACAAATATTTTTGGAGTAAAGAAATTTTTTTGTTGGGCAAAGTATTGTAAAATGAAAATGTCCAATAGCACACTGTTTCAAATTATTCAATCAACTACTAGAGAGATTTATTAACTATTCTAGTATTGTAGTTATGCTCATCCTTTACTTCTAGATTATTTTTTTATAATTTTAATAAGCGAACATAATACATAATTAAAAATTATATAAACAAGGTTATGTGATTATTTTTGGATTTTAAAATGCATTCTGTAATTGGCGTAGTCCAATCCACAAATGATTGTGCCTTTCTTTGATTGGAGAAAATAAATTTAAATGAAGCTGAGTGACCACATACTAAAATTACATAACTAATATGCGCATGAACAAGCTGCAGTAGCATTGATTAATGTTTTATTTGATACTTGATTATATATATGTACATACAATAAATTATACTAGGATTTAATTGTTTTACAGTTATGGTACAATGAGAGGGATAGTTTAATTTGCAATCAATCTGAACAACTAAAAGTGAAACAAGTTGCAGATATTCATGACATATCCCTTAGTCCAAGGACAAGAATTTTTGTCTTCTTATTGTTAAATTTCATGCCATTATCATTAAACCAATTTTTCTTAGTCCATTAAGTTTTTTTTAAAAATAACATTTAGACTGGCTAACAAATTATCACAGCTGGGTGCAAAATAATTGTCATCAGCTAAACCCACCATATCCCTTTCACATTCATCACATTCCTCTGGAAAGATTTTTATTTTTTATTAATTATAATCCTCCCCCCCTATATGCCATTAGCATTAATTTACAACTGCATTGTTAAAGTGTTTTGTACAATTTTCCTCTCGATTGCACCAGATGGGTAGCCAGGTGTATCTGTGTCATTTCAATATGATCTTGACTGTTTAAATATTGCGAGCAGTGGATGAGGTAGTTACTGACCAAATTTATCACTTCATAGCTCTTCCTACTAGAATTAGTGAAATCAGATTTAAATATTTTGGAAAACTGAATATCTCTGGTGAAGAAATGTTCCATTACTTGAATGATCCTAATTGGGTGTTGTCCAAGTACTCTAAAAATACTTAGAACTAAATAATGAGCTTACCATAATTTACATTGTATTATTTATTAATTTACAGAACAATTTAAGTGATTCATTAAATCATTTTCATTTTGTTTGAGCTACATAATTTAAATGCACTATTTATTTATGAATTCAACATAGCTTTGTACTTCAATTTTTTTATATTACGTAAAGAGTAAATCTGACTCCACTGACAAACCTCCTGATCATGATTTTTTTTAAAAGCTAATTTGAAAGCAAAATTATGGGGTTCAAATGCAGGGCTGCTGGATGAGTGCCATGTCAGTCAATTCTTAAACCGTTGTGGCCACTGACGCTCCATCTTTAATGTTATTTCACATTTGGTATGTTTAAAATTAAAAGAATAAAGCTCAACTAACTTTGAAGTAATTTTATTTATAAATATTATTTAATGAATTTTTTAAATTAAATAAATGATTACATGTTTTATTTATAGATATTATAAATTATTACATGTATTTGCATCAATTTATCACAAAGGATTTGAACGTCATTTGGAACAACATGAAGAACGGGGTTTCTTTTCATGCAAAACAATGCTATCTTGTCTACTGTCTTTGTTGATTTTATGCCATACATCTAGCGAACTTCCAATTAAACGGTTAACCGCCTCATCTGCAAATCACAAACCACCATTTTTAATTATTTTCATGCTAAATTTAATTTATTTTCCAAATCAAATTTTAATAGGTATTTAAAAATTGAATTCAACCATTTTTTAATCAATTTAATCTTTTTGTTTTCTAATTTAGCTTTTTTAGATTTGAATTCTACATTTTCAGTTGTAATAAAAACAAGAATGNAATTCCAAAGATAATTTTTTACATAGAATCTGCAAGTGCTATTAAAATTTTAATAAGTTGATGCGTTAAGCCGACCCAGTACAACTTTCAAAATGATACCAGAATCTCAAAAATTCATCGATTAATTCCGGTGATATTTCTTTAGATATTTATTTTCCTTCAGAACTTGATAATTTAATGTATCTTGCAACTGATTGTTATCCAGAACAACTCTCATGGTATGCGTAAAATAATATGTAACATACTTTTTAATTGAAATGATTTGACGTAGGGGTGAGGTGTCAATTCACTTTTTGGAAAGGATAGTTCTACTCACAGTATAACGTTGTATGGTTAACTTTTGCGAGTTGAACTATCTTTTCCAAAAATTAGTTTTTAACTTTTACAAGTTCAAGTAAAATATATTTTTTAAAACAAAAATACTTTACCAAAATATATATATGATAGGTGAAAGATGATGATAGGTAACTATCAAATTATTAGTTGATGATATCAAAGTGGCAATAGAAAAGAGAATCAGCTTAAATTGACTTAGAAAAGTTAAATTTGGTTGGAAATATTACAATTTGATTTGAAAAAAGTATAATGCAGTTTGTGAATAGTTCAATTTGATCTTGTCAAAGTTTAGTTCATTTTGAAAAACGTTGATTTACATTGAGAAAAGATATATTTTAGAGTAATTAAATTTAAAAAAATGTACCTATATTCAAGTTATTCAGGGCTGAAGTTTTAAACCAAGTTGTAAGGCCAAGTTTATTACAGAGCCTGGTGATTTCTTCATCACTAACCCTGTAAATACCAGTGTCCCATTTGTTCGCTAGAAGAATGACTGGAATTTTCTCAGTAGTCTCTATGAGTACTTTTTCCTTCAACGTTTCAAACCACTGGAGAATTTAATAAGTTAAAAACAAAGAAAAAAAGAAATATTTATTGTATATAATACCTTGGTAACTGATTCAAATGAATCGTATCTGCTGATATCAAAAACAATGAAACATCCAACCCTAGAATTCAATTAATAATAAAATAATATTATTTAACTGTACAAAAAATGTCAACTTACGCATTTCTGTAGTAAACACTTGTTATATATCCATATCTTTCTTGACCAGCAATATCCCTATAGTAAAAGCAATAATAAATAAGTTGAAAAGTAATGACTTTTAATGATTGAAAAGAAAAAAAATTACCAAAATTGAATGTTAACTACAGTTTCATCATTCCATAGGACTTGTTTGGTTGAAAATTCAGCACCAAACGTTATCTTGTATGTTGAAGAAAAGTTTTCTATGAAATGCCATCAATAAATACCATAATTAGAAAGAGATAAGTAATAAAAATAAAACACTAAAGTATAAAAAGTTTGTTTCTAACCACAAATATATCTCTTAACAATTGCAGTTTTTCCTAAAAAAAAAAAAAAAATAAGGTAATTAGTTAAAAATGTCAATTGTATTCTTTCAAAAACTGTTTCGCTGCAACATACGTACCAACAGCGTCGTCACCGACTACTAGGAATTTCAAAAATATTTTTTCGTTTTGTGGACGGGTGAGTTTCTTATATTCCATGTTTATGATGTTACCCCAAGGAATCAAAATTTCAAATGGCAAAATTGCCTTTTCAGCTTGAGATAAAACCTATCTCAATGTTAATTGTATTAACATTATACTTTCTCTCTCGTGAATGTGGACTTTCTAGCTTATCTTAATCTTAAAGGAGGGCATTAATTGGAAAATATAACAACAAATGCTAATCTATCTTTTATTTATTTTTTCCAAAATAAAAGTCAATTGAATAAAGAAATCTTTTTTTCAGTATCGTACACAAAATAAAATAAAAGATAAATAAAATTAATAATTGCAGAAATGAAATGTTGATTTTAAATTAAATTTTTTTACAAACTTGTGGTTAGTACTTTGGCAACATATCTCACATTTTGTTTTGTATATTTAACAGATAAATAAAAGAGAAAAAGAATGTTAAAGCTATAAAAAATATCACACGATAAATACTTGTAAATCTTGATACTTTTACACAATAACATTTCCTTACATTAGAGCTTACGAGAAATTTTAAATAAAACTGGTGTTCCAAAGATAAAAACATGGTTAAATTAAATGTGAGATTATCAATTTTGTTTCATTCTTAAGCCACACACTTCTGGACGATTTTTCTGATAGATGTGAAAAATAGTTATATTCTCCTCTCACAGAAACTAGGGAAAGCATTCACAGAGCAAGCCATGAAAATCACAAAAAAATTGCAGCATTTATACAAAAACATCCATCAGTGATAAACATTAGTGCAAAATAAATCTTGACAACATATATTATTTTTATATCACCACAGCCAACCCAAATTATTACAGAAGACACTTCTTATATTTTTACATTTTAATTTTTGTAAAAATTTATAAAATGATTCATAAAATTGACAGTCGTTCCTTTTTTTATGGAACTATTTATTTTTACTCCCACTAGCCAAAACAAAGATCATTAAACATAAAAGCAGTAAGAAGCAACAATATTCTAAATACACATTTTGACACCCCTATTAATTAAGCCTACATCGGTTTTGATAAATGACATAATAATTAATATTTAAGTTATAAGTTCTTTAATGTCCGGTTAGTGTCTCTTTTCTCATCATGATGAAACAAATGGAAGACTAAAAGTGAAGTCAAAAAAACACTAATTAACATCTTATACGAAGTCAATAATTTTGACATAGAAAGATTTTATAGGAAGGTTGACAGTTTCCAACTATAAAGAACATTTTTAACAAAACATCAATAATTATGTTTAAATGCTATTTGAGGTAAACTTATATTGTTTAATATTTAGGAATGTACTCAGAGCAATAATTTAATGAGAAAATTGAAAAATTTTCTCTGATCGCCTCTGATCACATAGATTAAGACAAGTTTTTCAAAGCCGTTTAATTTAATTCTTGCAAGATGAGATAGGACAATTTGCCTAAAATTGTAATAGGATGCTTAAAATAGTCTTCATTGTAATTATTTACTAATTATTACCAATTTTTCAGCTCATAGACACCGCGGTTGTGGGTTCGATTCCCATCGTTGCCACTGGAATTTCTAACCCCTCCCTCCATCACAAAAATTTTTGTTCAACACCCTAAGTACTTGCCTAATGTGGTAGACTCAATAATTTTAAAAATAAATAAATAAAATAAAAAATAAATCGAATACATAAAAATAACTTGAAAATTTATACAATCAAGTTTGAAATTTGTCACTGTTTTTTCTAATAAAAAAATTACAATAAAAGTTAATTAAAGCTCATGATCATAACATTTGATATTGCAAGTCTGGATTATTGATGATTCCTGGTGTACTGATGGAATTTAAGTCTTGAAATGTTTTCAAAACTTTTATTTTCCCTTCGATTTTGTTTCCTCTTGACTAGTCTTGTTCTCAGTACTTTGATATGATTCTTGAGCCTTCTTCAAGTCTTCTAAGGTGTTGTGGAGGATCCTCTTCTCTGTCAACCGCATAAGCACTGTCAGCCTCATACATGAAGATAAGCTCTTGTTTTCTTCAAGAAGTTTTTCATCTTCCTGATTGTAAAGAAAATGAAAGAAAAACCCAATAACATCTTGGACTGTAATAATCAGGAAGGTTGTAATAAATTAAAAATACCTCAAGAGTCGTTGGGTAAGTTGATAGGAGTAAGTTTATTCTTGTTGTCAAAAATTGCCAAACCTTAGAATCGACAGGATGGGGAATGTTTGGGCACAATAAATCATCTGTACTCTCTCCGTTTAAATATTTCTCAATAGTTTCTATAACAAAATGAATGTTTACATTAATAATTTTTTATTTAAAGAAAATTAACTTTTCCATGGTGGAGAGTGGTAGTCGAGTGGTTGTCATGTCGAGACTCTTGGCTTCTAGACACCATGGTTGTTGGGTTTGGTACCCACCGTGGGATGTTTGATCTTTGACCCATTCCTCTCCTCCCAAAAATATGATATAATACCTACCATTTTTAGCTAACATGTAAAACATAAAAAATGCAGATGTCAAGAAATAGATAGCTTAACCATCTCTTATCAACTGGTTTGAATTTCTACATCTTCAACCTTATATCAACTACTGAAGAGGCCGATCTACAAATCTACAACTTTCTTAATAGACCAAATCGGTGAGACCAGTACAGGATGATCAAGTTATAACNCCAGCACATTTAGAATAAGCCCTTTGGCCTGCCTGTAAGCTGGGAGTGTTGTCGCTGAACTTCAGAACCCACCCTCCATTATGAGACCATCCTTGCCAAACATAACATCCGCTTTCATGTGGATGATGCCGACTACTGAAGAGGCCGATCTACAAATCTACAACTTTCTTAATAGACCAAATCGGTGAGACCAGTACAGGATGATCAAGTTATAACTTCACCTCAGTATTTCACCACATAAAAAGTCAAACAAGGTAGCTCATGTTTTGAGTAATCTTACGTTCTACTAGCTTCTTATTTTTGTATGTACAGATAGCTTAACTCTTCTGAAATTTGTGAAAGTACTACACTATATCACACAACCAATCCATCACAATATATACAACTTAATACAAGAAATTGAGTTAGCCATTTTGAAATTTTTTCCGCAACAAATCAATTTTCACTTAAAATATTCATCCTTCGGGGGATATACATATCAGTTAAAAAAGTTAGAGGGGAATCGTGACTGAGTGGTTAGTGTATCCAACTTTTACCAGGCAGTTGTGGGTTGGATCCCGACAGAGCCCATTGCTACTTAATTGATAATGACATGAAAAAGGTATTGTAAAGTAGATTGACCCCTGGCTCAATGGATATTTGGACGTTAAGCCCTCCTGTATGGCAGGAATTACTAAAAACGTTGTACTCTAAACACATTTTAAAAGACCATGTCCAGCCACAATAGTTGCTTAAATTTAAAGGGTAATTTTGTAAAAGGGAAGATAGATGCTTCAAGCTTGATAGCGCTGGGAGGGTTGGAGAGCATGTGGAGTGAAACGTGGAGTTAGTAAAGGGAACAGCATCTCAAACATGTTCATTTTTTCTTGTAATGTACAAGACATTTTTACAATACGTACAGTAAGTTGAACAACACAACTAACTTTGGTGTGATGGTTTTTAATATAATTATTAATTATGGATTAAAACATTTCAGTAATTAATCATTTTTTGGATTATCTTTTTTTTGTTTTTCATTTTTTGGACACCTTAAGCATCAATAAATCCAATTTTATTTAAGTTTTGTTTGTGACTGATGATCTGCTGTTGGATTAAATGGACTGAAATTTGCACCAGGTTGAATTGTGCTTTAATCAACTACATCCAGAGCGTCCTGCTAATCATATTTTTTTTCAGTACTATGTACAATTAATATACTAGCAATTAAAATAAATAAATAAATTGGATCTTGGTTGAAGAAGATTTTGTTTATCCAAAAAATGTTATTTGGAAATATTTTTGTGTGAATAACTTGAGAATAGTTGCTTCAAATTAAAAACCTTTTGCGCTGTTGAATTCAGTTTCAAAAACCTCCCAAACAATGTACATTAATGAGTATCTTGTCATTTAAAATAATTAAGTTTCTATCTGTATCAAGCTTTCCTGGAGAGTTATACCAAATATCTCCTGAAGATGGCTCCAAGAGAGCCAAAATGCTGGAAAATACATTTAAACTTTATGTAAAACAAACTGATTTCTTCTTCTTCTTCCCTGGCCTACTCCTCAGCAAATAAACAACAAATTAATATTGTATTGTCATATTTTAAGTAAAATTTGATTTTTTATTAACATTTTTCAAACTGGCTAACTACCTTTTTTGGATTATAGTTATATATAATAAAACCAATAAATAACTAATCAACAAAAATTGAAATTTAACACGACTGGCAGAAGGAAATTACAATATTTCAAGTTTATACATATAAAAAATTAAACTGACCTTGCTCCATGTTGAATATTCTCAAGAATGCGATGAACTTGTCATGAGGCGCAAAAGGCCTCGGGTTCGCTGGCAGAAGAAACTCAGCGGAAGAGGGTATAGACAGCTTGTTCAGCAGCTCTTTCTTCTGTGATACAAGAGGATCAGATTTTGAAACGCCAAGGCGTAGTTTGGTGCCATCTGCGATGTTATTGACATGAACAAAGCCATTGTGAAGGAATAGCTCGGAATTAGGTCGTCTGCCATAAGACATACAGACTTGCTCTCCTTTCTTGTAATCCTGGCATGAGTAGTACTCGCTCTGGTCACAATCGATGTTGTAGTCTGTTGTTAGCTGTAATTTTCAGAGGAGTATAAATAATTAATAAAGGTTTGGACATTTTATATTGCTGTCACAAAGCAAAACAACAATATTTAGCATTCGCCCATATTTTTGTGTGGATGGAAAGTAAGGCTCAACAAGAATACAAAAAAGATAAGAATCTGATTCACACAACTTTATTATAACACCAGACTGATTTAATATTTAAAATGTTTGAATTACTTATATTTATGAGTTTATGAATTATGTCAGTCACAACTCTAACTCAAGAGACATACTTCAGCCTTATTGTACGATTTGTAATATTTTGTTCTCACCCTTTAGCAGGTACTCAGGAGGTTATTTCCTATGTACTAAATCAGTATAACATTCTATTATTACAATGCCAGTAGAACAAAATATTTACTGAAGTACTAAGAATTTCAGTGCTACAAATTTAATAAAAGTAGTACACATTTAATCATAAGGGTTTTATTTTTATTTTTTTATTACATTTATGTCTAATAAAAGATGCATTGTATTTCAAATGAATTAGAAAGAAAGCACTGAATATGAGCGTATAATCCGAATTTTATGTTATACATTAATGTAAAATGCACATTAATGATAATCAGTTTAAAAAAAATATCATGTGATATGAGATAGATATATGTGATACTCCAGAAATGTTGAGACATTGATTCAGAAGCAAATTATCTTGCTTCCTCGAGGCTTTCTTGAGGAACCGAGATTGTGTGTTAGACTGAGAGCTCTCTTGATACATAGGCAACACATTGATGCCGTTGAGGTGAAAAAAAAGTGAACTGATGGAACTTTCAAAATTCATCAATCATCACTTCAGATGGGGAGTGGATAATGTGTTGTTTTATGGATGCAGCTTCAGCTCAAAAATGCACACGGAGAAACTTGGTAGGCTCTACTATCAGGACTTTTGGTCACCAGCACATTTAGAATAAGCCCTTTGGCCTGCCTGTAAGCTGGGAGTGTTGTCGCTGAACTTCAGAACCCACCCTCCATTATGAGACCATCCTTGCCAAACATAACATCCGCTTTCATGTCAATACAGCCGGATATGGAATACCCAGAATACTTCTTGACTTAAATCCATGCTTGTATTAAAAAAATTAATAATTAATTTTTTACTCATATTTATTGTTTCATCAAAAGGACACAATTTAAATAACCAATTAACTCACTCAACAAGTTGGCTCTGGAATGGATGAAATTGAACTTTTTTTTATTTACATTTTAAGTCAACTATTAATCTTTATACCTAATTGTTACGGAAAATAACCAAAGAAATAAAAATGCCCGTTTTTTACATATTTGAAAAATGAATTAAAATTACTGTTGGCACATATAGACTGATAGATGTAAATGATTTACCTCAGCATTATCATGATTTCCCATATCCCAGTAGGGGATAAGCGCAAGAACCATTGGATAATGTGGGCTGTTGGCTGGTATGAAATTCTGTCTTGTCATTACAGTTGATACGGCCCATCTAAAACATATCAAAAATGCAATTTAACAACTGATTGTAGTGCAACTTGATTGAATAAATCTGCTATCACAAGCTGAGTTTCAATCTGTATGGCACATGATGACAGCTTCAGATAAAATATGATTGAAGAACGCCACAAATTGGTCATGAACAGTAAAGAGAAGAGGAAGAGGAAGACCCATGAAAAGGAAGATTAAGGATGATGGGGAGGCATTCGTTCTACCGTTGGGTCTATATATCTCGTCTTATACCTTCAACTTACAAGAAGAAAATATTCTGTCAATATCAACGAACTACTAATTAATTACACATCTGGATGATTTAAATCTCTCTTCCTTGATAAATCTCTTCCTTGATAAATTGTTCAGGGATATTGTAAACTATCCTAAGCTGGCTCTTAAGCAAAAAGAAGATTGGCGAACCACAGTCATTAGAGTGGTTTTGCTTGGTCGTTTTCCATACATTTTAGCCCGCCTGACTTCGCAGTTTTCGTTTTTCCAGGACTGGCTAATAAACGCAGAAATGTGTACCAAAAATAGCGAGAAAATGCGAACTATAATGTTTGGAAACGGCAAAATTACAGAGAATTACAGGTTTATCAACCACCTGGCCTCAAGAAGAAATCTAATACAAGAAAACGAAATGATGATAGAAAGTAGTTGGTGATTTATAGTGCTGCATTTAGCCTTGTAGTTTGGTCGTTTCCAAACATTTTTAGTACGTCTGTCCTCGCTATTTTTGGGCAAATGCCTCAAGAAGAAATCTCATAAAAGAAAATAACTAATTATATTGGGATGATGGGTGGCAGTTGGTGATTTATATCGTGTTGTCCGGAAATGTACATGATTTCAGGGATTCTTTCAATTACACCTTTATATAATAAAATATTTATATTTGATAGATTATACTTTTATAAGAATGTCAAAAGTTTTTAATACTCTTCCAAACAAAAAAGTTTACTTCAGTAGCATTTGGTTATTTGGGTACAATTAAGTTTTCCCTTAGATGTCAACGCGTGATTTTCGCGTAATTTCGTTTTATGAGTTTAAACTCGGTCGTAATGGTGCCCAAACTGCCAGAAACATTAATGAAGACTGGTGCGATGGCAGTAGAAGTAAGAGTCATTTATGGTTTACGTTTCAAGAGGAATTAGCCTTGAACTCAAAGAAGGTCGTGGAAAGATTTCTTCCCTAGTTGGTGATGTTCTGCGAGCTTTGGAAGAAGAAAATCTCAGAACAACTGTTCGAGAACTTGTAGAGAATCGTTCAGTTAGCAAATAGACCGTCGCTGATCACCTTAACGCAATTGTAAAAGTGAAAAAGCTCGAAAGTTTGGTTCCTCATGCATTAAATGACAGCCAAAAAAATCATCGTTATGAAGTTTGAACAACACTCATTTGCCGAAACAGAAACGAACCTATGGATACTATTGTCACTTGTGATGAAAAATGGAGTGGCTTCATTTGGACTGCTTTACTAATGCTTCTTGAATCCTGGCTAAACAATCAATGCCGAAATATATTTCTCTCAAATTGAAGCAATGCACCAGAAATTGTGTTTTACAGAATTTGTTAATAATAAAGACTCAAAATTCTAGCGGGTATAGAGAAGTTGCCATCACGTTGGGAGAAGTGTGTGAAAGTGAAGCAGTGTTTTTAATTAATAAAAAAATGTTTAAAATCGTTTCTTTTTGTAACCCAATATTATTGACGCAAAACCATGCTGGGCTAAAATCAAAGTACTCCGAGAAACTCCAGACTCAAACGATACTTTTTACTCTGCTTAATAAAATATTCCCAACACGAAATTTCATATATTATAGTTTCCAACAACGCAACTATTTTTACAAGTAAATTTAAAAACTATTGCAGAAACAATGTAATAAAAAAAAAGTTCACAGCCTCAGGTCATCCCGCTACAAATGAGTTAGTTGGACAAAATAAACAAATAGTCAAAAACCCAAATTCAAGGATAAAGACAAACAGATTCAAGTGGAAAATTAAAGTCCTCTACACCTTAGCTCATACATCATAAGACCGAGCTGCGGATGAAGAGCGACGCTTAATCGACAGCGCGAACAGCAATTGATGCCTGACTGGGCAAGAAGTTCGACGATCAACCCGAAGTAGACGCCTTTCTGAACATCTAGGTCACAATTTTATAATTTTTTTTTTTTAAATTTCTACATCAAATCATTATCTATAATTCAAAACTAATCATTGCATTCTGTAGTAATTTTTATTTATATATCAAATTATTTTCTACATTTCACAATTAACTGTTGCATTTTGTATTCTTTTTTGCAGTCTTGCTAATTCTAATTATTAATTGAAACAAAAAAATTAATGCTTACGAATAAGGTAGGGGAGAATTATTGTATCAATATCAATGAAAGTGTCAACATGGTGGGATTCCTTACCATTTTGTAAAGACAAAGGAAAAAAGGAATAAAATATGGAGTCCGGTTTTTAATTTTAACCAGTGTAGTTCGTATCTACCAGTATCCTTCTTTTCTTTCTCCCCCTTATTCTATTATACAAGAATACGACCCCTTGTAAGTAGGAAATAAAAAATAATGAACTGAAACGTCCAACGACCAGCTAAAATGTAGTAAATAGTGATATACGAGCGAAGTGCGAACTAAGTAGTTCATGAATGATGTAGAATCCCCTGGTAGTAGACCCACGAACAAGAGAGAGTCTGCACGACCTTTCAAGATTGCCGAATGGGAGCATGTCCATTGTTAATCACCGGCTAATTGTTGAGATATTAGCTTGAAACCATAAGCATTAACTTTCTAACTAATAAGCGTGTTTCTTCCTCGATTGTTGTGATTAGAATTACTAAATTTCAGTAAAAAATTGAATTACCACGTGGGCAAGTTTGTATCTTTTTTCTCCTGGGACTTGCAGATGATGCACTCAGAAATGATGTTCACGGTCAAAAAGCTGGATGAAATAATTGATTGACCGTTTTCCAATCGAGACAAAACTTTGATATAATTTTTTGAGAAAATCAGGGATAATGAAACCAATTTCATGGCAACTGGCCTTATATATATATAATTATAATTAGATACCTTCGTATGATGGCGTGAAACCAGTTGAACCACTTGTCAACAATCTAAAATTAAAAGTATAATCATTGACCATGTTGTCCCAACGTACTATCCAGATCATAAAAATACAAAATCCCGTGTACTAGCCATAGGAATTTCCAAAAATATTTTAACTATAACTGAAGCACCATTAGCAGCCTTCATCAGATCAAAACCCACGTTATAACTTACGCCTCTCTTGTCCGGACGTCACATTTTTTAAAAGTACAAGACAATGCGGTTCAAAAATCATTAAAAATTACTACAATACTAGTAGTTGACAATATGTGAGGCATATGCCGTTTATGGGGAAAAATGAGATGAGATGGATGGCTTACTTAACTAGTTTGTTTTTAGCTTGCCGTTGGGAACAAGCGAGACTTTCAGCTTCTTCGCATGGTTAAACTTCGACACAACTTCAAAACCAAATGTGCAACAGAACTACAAGCAGCTAGATTATTTGTATCTAATAATTATTGACTTTAGATTAGACACTCCCCACAGTCCTTATAAATTGTTCCAAGACTCGCGAGATAATGTCATGTGCCCACATTAGGAAGGCAGTTGGGCTACATAAATCAAAATGCAATTTTAAGCCTAGTAGACTTTTTGAATCGATTTATGTCAGAATGTACACTGAATAGACGCATGGTTCGGATTTACAAGGGGACGACCAGGTTCGCGGGTCACGGATTTGGACCAAACTTTTTTGGTGTATACACTCTAATATATCGGACAAGTATCCACCACTTACGAATAGAGGCCCTGGCTTTGCAAAAAAAATTGGAAGTTGAAATTTTTCAGTTTTTAATATTTTTATGCGCCGTTCTATTTGCTCAAATATACTATGTGACAACTATATGAATAGATCATTTTACAGCATTTCTATGTAGATTGCAATAAAAATATAGTAAAATTTAATCAATTTTAACAATAACCAAAAAAATTCTATTATTAAAATTGAACAACCAAAGTTTTTCAAGTGAACTATTGGGTTGTCCGGAAAATAATGCAGGATTTTGGTATTAAACAAAAAAAAAGAAACTAGTTACTTTAAAGCAATGTTCTTTAATCAAAATAATTTNACAAATGAGTAATCCTGTAAACGTAAACAGAATATTTTATATAGATTTTTTTTAATGAAAACTTAAAATCCTGCATTATTTTCCGGACAACCCAATAGATCAATTTTTTTCGTGAAACTAATATGAAATTTCGTTTTAGCACTTCTAGAGACTCCTAAATATAAATTGTTGTTTGAATTTAAATTGATCGATTTTTCGACCCAAAAATTTTTCCGATTTTTGAGTCGTCGTTACCGGAATATATGATTGAAACGGCTAAAAGGACTGTAACGTCAAACAGACCATTAATTGAAAGAAGAATGTACCTTGTTAACGACGTATGTACCATTAAAATATATAAAATATTTCTGTAAAAAAATACACTAAATAGCAAAATTAGTTGTCAGAAAATTAACCTCGTCTTTTTTTAAAATTTTATTTTTTATATATAGATATATATATTTAAATGGAAATAATACATATATAAGTGTATTGCAATTTAAGCCTATAGTTTTTCAAGAACATGGTGACCTATTTATATAAATTTTGAGGATTAAAGTTTGTGAAATTCTAAGGTATGCGAAGGGTTAAGCGTAGTAGTTGGCCAAGGGAGGAAATCGACGTGGACTTTCATTCATCATCGTGGCAAATGGAAATAATAGTCCCGATTTTAAAGTTTGATGCAGTTATAAAATGCACTTGCAAAATTCTTTAAAACGAATTATCGACCATGAGCATAGGTTTGGAGAAAAATGATGTTAGAACATGCATTTGGAATGTCGGTCAAGGCAGAAAGGTCGTCGAAATTATCAGTCAAAAATTAATTTACACTGATTTCCGCTAAAGTCGGTATGTAAGGGTT